CCCCCCTCGGATTAGCTGACGCTTGCTCGCCTTCTCTTTGCTAGCCTTACATTTACTTACAAATTCCATCCCTGGCCCCGCCCACTCACCCTTGGGTGTACCCACCACACACGAATATAACCTCCGGTGGCAGGAGCTCTTTCGCGACATTTCCTCTTGCCTCAGCAGTCCGCCTGCTGTATTGTTTCACCTGAGGACGATGGCTTGTGTTCGATGGCTTGTGTTGCTATCGAAACGTCGTGATCTATTTTTTTTAAATCCTTTATATTAAGTTCGCTTGCTTGCTTGCGTGCTTGCTTGCTTGCTTACGACCGTGCAAACCTTTTGGTCGTTTTTTAACCCACTTCCCGTGATCCAATCGAGCTGACATTTTCCACACAGACTCGTTGTGCGTGACAATTAATGTTCGTGAAAAAAAAATTCAAAAATTTTACACTTTTTAGGACAAAAATATTATATTTCATTACCAATTGCTTAATGCTGGTATGCAATCATCTGACCCATAGGTGGCAGCCATCTCAAGCCAGAGGACGAGAGGACTCTAGCCGCCACGCATATAAAGGATTTATAGTGAAAAACTTTGTTTTTACGGGTTATACTTATTTCTACCTACGTGTCTTTAACTAAATACCCAAAGAGTATGGATTCCTGCAGTCACGAAAGCTTCAAATCAAGATTCTGACGATGAATCTAGAGGTAAAACCTTTGACCGGAAAAGAGAGATCTAGAGCTAAATCCTCTGAACTGACACGAGATATCGATAAGTGCATATAGTTACTAGCCATCGAACAAAGACGGTCACCGCATCGAGCGCTTTCAGATGCGCTGCCGCGGCCGTCTGGAATGCTCTCCCTTCCGATGTCAGGAAGCCACTGGAGCTTATGCAATTTTAAATCATCTAGGTTGAAAACTAATTTCTTTAGAATAGATGTTTGTGTGTCGTTTGTTGTCCTTCCCCCCACACTCCGATTGGCACGGCTGGTTACGTACGGTGCGAAGGAAGTTCAACATACATACAACATATGGAACCCCAGTAGTCACCGCTCAACACACGCGGGCGCACCAACATAGACGCTCAGTCGAGGGCGGTGCGGTGAATAAGTGTGCCGGTCATTTAAAATGCCGCCAGGGGAGATCAAATCTTCTCGATTATATGGTACAAGTCAAAGTCTAGTACCAGAGGCCATGTTGCTTTTGTGAGCTAATTGGTGGTGAGGGATTAAAGTCGCTTGCACTCCACACGAGTGAGAGTGAAGGTGACAATCGAGGGCATCTCGACACAAAAGTTTGCACTGTAGGTAAAGGCGTCTTATGTGCGAGTGTGTCTGTGTCTTCGCTATGCCCTTGCCAGCTGACAGACCCCGTGTAAACGAAATATCCCATCTCAAGGCGCTACGCGGACACGGGAGTTGAATCAATGCAAGTCGACGAGAGTCACGGGGCACGGTCCACACAACATCGACACGACACAAGCAGCCACGACGCTGCGCCAAGCTGGGAGCGGTAGCCTGGCGCACCCCCCCCCCCCCCTCATCTTCACCACTCACAACCTCACAATCGCCCCAGCCATGGCCACCTCGTCAACCCGGCCCTGCCCGTCTAGACTCCCCGCGTGGCAGGAACGCCCAGTGGGATTATTTATGGCGGCCTGCTGGAGCCGGGCGAGATAAATCAGCTTGGCGAGCACGGGGAAAAGTCCGGGACTACACTCGCGGGCTCCAATTAAGAGCTGGGGACACAGCGGAGGCGTCGCGCTGCTGTAACGAGGAGGAGGTTGCTGGATAACGATGCCTCTATTAGGACACGAAGGGCAATGTAGAACTAGGTCGTCCTGCCCACGAGCCGCCGGTGCCGCCATAAATCAATCTCCTCCTCCGAGGGCGCCCTTTTAATTGCCCGACAAACACAGCTGCCGCGCACGTGGCCGTTACTCGCGCGTCTCCTTCGCGGGTCACGTAACCCGTGACCATTCACCCACGGGAGGTGCGGGTTCCATTCCACATTCCGGGCGCACTTTCTCCTCGTCCACGTGCACGCGCCTGATCTTGCGAGATGTCGCAAGCCAAGCAGGCCTCAGCCTGAATAATGATGCTCTGATTAAATAACAACGCGTTGCCTAAACCAGGAGCTCGAGGCGCTTGCGGGTCGCGCTGTCAGCAGAGAGCAGTGCAGAACCCCAATGGCGCGCTTCACCGCAAGGTCTCTGCGTTCGATTCCCGACTCGGGCGCTTCTCTGTGTGGAGTCTCTTTGACCCCCCCTACCCACCCTGTTCTGCGTGGTTTCCTCCAGGTTCTCTGCCATAGCTATCAGTGGCGGCTGGTGATATTTATTTTTGGGGGGGCGCATTTTTTAAATTTTATTGAGGGGGGCAAATAAATATAAAGCAGTACCAAAAGCCATTTTGACTACTTGAATATAAATTTTGATGATCTTTATTTACATTTCAGACCAAAAGAAGTACCAAAAAGCATGTTTCCTACTTGAACATAAATGTTTCTCTTTTATATACATTTCACACCAAAGTACCAAAAAGCATGTTTCCTACTTGAACATAAATGTTTCTCTTTTATATACATTTCAGACCAAAGTACCAAAAAGCATGTTTCCTACTTGAACATAAAAACGTTAGTTTCATGCTATTATCAATATGGCTGCGGCTACTTTCATGACGTTTGCATTTGTCAGAGAGATGTTTGAGGTCTCTTACCCCCGTCGTTGTCCACAAAACTTCAGTGCCGACACTTTGAAATAAAAGACAGGGAAAACAAAAAAGAGAATTGCTAACATCACATCCAGCCAGCCACCTCCGTTTCTCATAACAAGCGCGGGTGAAGCTTCGTGTGTAGCTTCGTCCTCTGTCACTGGCCTGCTGCTGGATTTGTAAATCGGGTTGGTCCGGTCCGAGATCCTTTATCTTTTTTATTTCTTCCAGCGAAAGCCTTGTGAAAGGGTTTTTTTTGTAAATAAATTACAGAATTTGGATGAACTGCTGCCATTGTTTACACAAAAAATTTGATCAGCCTAGCAAGTGTCAAAGTGGTGTCGCCTTCGCACTCGCAGTAGTGGCCTACAGCGTAAATTTGAATGACAGGTGACGAGAACCAATCAGATTGGATAAAATAACATGTATCCAATTCTGATTGGCCAGGGACGCAACGACTTGCGCCCCGAGGAGAATCTTTAAGAAACCAATTAGAGACCAGCTTCAGGTCACATGCTGTCCGAAAATGTAAAGTCTCACATAGACATCCATTTGTCCGGCGCCCCGCATAAAACACATTGAAAAACATAGAAAATAGTTGACCGATTAAAGCCAGTTTTTATTAAATGCTGATGCTTTTCTTACTACCAGCCGGCACATCGTATGAAAAAAATATTTTATTTATGTATTTTTATATAAATTTTGTATATGTATATTTCTGGAATATTGATGGGGGCGGCGCCCCTGCGCCCTCTATTGACGAGCCGCCACTGATAGCTATACAAACCACAAACAATGTAATGGGCACTGGCCAAACATCCCATTGCTGAGCAATTACCTGAAAATTACTCAACTAGAATTACACAACAACAACATCGCCCCGACTCTGTAAATTAAAAACTAAACTATTTTTTTATTTTATTTTACTAGTTAAGGCCCAGAGTTTTCAGTTTTTTCAGAAGCGACCTGACCACAAATAATAGCTCAACAAAGTGGCTTATCGAGTGTAAATTTATAGCAGCCACATACTCTAAATGCGTGTTTCTAATTGTGGAGGGGAAAACCGGAGGACCCAGAGAAAAATCCACGCAGCCACGGGGAGAAAGATACGCAAACTCCAAATATACAGCAGGCGTCAGGGTCGGGATCAAACACACGACCTCCTGTATACCAGGCGAGGCAATTAACATCTCGCCACCGCGGCGCCCCGAACTTGGCAGGACCCTCCTAAAAAAGCCCTCCAAGATTCAGTTGGGAGTTTCGTGGGTGAACAAGCGGAGTAAACGACGACACTTACAACACCCCCCTCTCTCAAGAGTTGAGTTCCGAGTGAAGTCATCCACGCGGAGGGACCGGCCAGGGGAAGGTCCTCGGTTGGCCCGCGGCAGAGCGCCGCGTTACCCAAAGTGGGGGGGGGGGGGGGGGGGCATTTCGGGTTCCCGGCCACCAACATCCCCAGGGTGGTGCCCCAAACAGGCGCGTTAGCACGGGAAGACTCGACGCAAATTGAACAATCGGGTGCTGCGGAAAAAAACACTTTAAGGGACTCAAGAGGCGGGAGAAACACATTCCGGACGACGCCTTCCCCCCCTACTGTTTGTGCAATTAACCATTTACTAAATAGTGCTGCGCTAGCCTGCACTTAATAACCCTATCGCGGGCCTCTCCTTCCCACAGAGACGCGAGGCAGTTTTCCTGGGAAAATAATCAACTTTAATTCCTAAGCAGCGCGTGATTATTTTGTATTTATTTATTTTGTGAGCGATAGTGAACTCCTCATCAAATCACTCTCGCCGGGGGGCAGGGGAGGGGAGTGGGGGTGTTGCACACTATGGTTAAGGCGTTCTCTTCTTGGATCGTCTTGGCACGCACGCACCATCTGAAGGCAACAACAGCGCCCCACTGCAGGTGCGCTACTGGGGAGGGCCCCCCAAGATACCGAAGCGTTCATCTGAAACATACTTGCGTTAAACAGCAGACGTCCGCGCTTCGGATCATTCATACAATGCACAGCAGCAAGTACATAATTCGTCGTCGTCGTTATCATCAGGCATGGTCAATCCACTGCTGGATGAAGGCCTCCCCGAGCCCCGCCACTTCTCACGGTCCTGCGCTGTAATAATCCACGTTCTGTGCGTCATAATGGCGGCGGGTGGAGGGTGGGGGGTGAGCCAGGTGATGGCACAAAGGGCCGACACCAAGTCTGTAGCGTTAACCACAAGAGCAGTGCAGAACCACAAGTCAGCAGCACCTGGCCCACGATGAGTATGGACTCAATGGAAGAGCACAGGAATCAACACACGGAACGCACAACCATGGCCCCTTAACACATTTTTTTTATTTCAACGGTGACATCAACGTTAATTTCCATACTCGCAACGTAAACTAATGAATGGATGAGTGAACGTGGAACCCATAAACTTCAGACATCGCGTTAACAACTGCAGTTGCATAGAAGTGTTGTCTGCGGTGGAAACAACACGAGTGATGCCGAAACTGCTCACGACATCGAAAGTTCAACAGTGGAATAAAATGAAAAAAACCCAAAGCTCCAAGTGGGGAATTAAAATGATTCAAAAGGGGCATGGGGATCTTAATAAAAACGGCTTTCGCAGTTGCATTATTTACAGCCGCCGGTAACCGCGTGCGTCGTCAAACGCTCCCTCAGCCAGCATCGCGAAGAGTCAAGTCGCCACACCTTAAAAACTCTTTGGGATGAGAATAGTTTTTCCCTTTTAATCTGGCAACAGAACAGATGTCAAGATGTTAAAACACCAAACTGAAACACCAAAAGTTTGGCGTCCTCTGGTCGATTCCTTGTTAAAGGTTTCAGTTTGGTGTTTTAACATCTTAACATCTGTTTTTGTTGCCAGAAAAAAGGGGAAACCCTATTCTCATATTTTGGTACTGGCAAAGGAGGTCCCATGATGTAGCTATTTGGGAGTTTGTCTTATCTTCAATTGTTGCTCTGTCAATGGCAATTCCAATTTTGTATTTGTCGTTCACCCCCCGTAAGTGGTCTGAGCAGCGCCTGGCGGTGGCTCACTGCTACAGCTGACGACGAGCCGCTGCCAAGATCCGGATGGCTCGCCCGGGGTAACGGACCCCCCCCTCACCCGCCGATGCTGAGCTGTGGGTGAGGGGCCCCTTGCTGGGGAAGCTCCGCGTATGTCGTCTGCGCGAAAGGACGACGCAGACGCGGCCACGCCCCCAGCGAGTCAGTCCAACGCCTCCGCGTGCGGCACGTGTCTTTTAGAGTTGCCTTTTGTGTTTTAGTTCTTTTGTCCTTCTTAACACGGAGTAGGCTTTCGCAACCAATATTATCCAAAGTAGATGGGGTTTTTTAGGTTAAGGTGCATAAACACAAATGCGTCGTTGAATCTGCCACCACCAGCACTCCAATTGTAAGTATTGTGGGTTTACAACTCCAATACGCGCGTGTTCTGAACACGACCAATTGACATGTTTCATACTCTTTGGTTCTTTCGGTAAAGTCACGGAGGTATAAAAAAAAATCACACTTCGATTGCAACACAAGCAAACATCAGGTGGAAAAACCACAGCAATACATTTTTTTGCTGTGGTTTTCCCACCTGACGATGATTGCTTGTGTTGCAATCGAAACGTCGTGATTTATTTTATTTCTACGTGACTTTACCGAAAGAACCAAAGAGTATGGATTCCTGCAGTCACGAAAGCTTCAAATTTAGATTGGCATGTTTCACTTACGTGCCAAGCCTTACTAATTTGGCTGTGTCGGTTGGTGGGAGGTTTAACAACACATTTACATTTAAGCGATCAAACCCAAAAAAACACTATTGTCGTCCTTCCCCCGCACCTCCGATTAGCACGGTTGGCTACGTACGGTGTGAAAGAAGTTCAACATACATACGTGCGTACGTACAAGTGCAGAACACAGCGCGCCTGAAACCCCGAGCCTGTGACTCCTTGCAGTTGCGATGTACCCTGTTTGCGAGCACCCTCCCCTTTCATCACTCGCTCTCTCATTGCATCGTCCCATCCCTTAGCTCCCATTCTCAACATTAGTTGCGCACAATCAGTCGCTGCTCATTGCCGAGCAGACGGCCCCGTCCAATGTTATTAGCTTCTCCTAATGGTGGGTTCGTGCTTTTGCTTTCGACACAATGAAGATAACCCCCCGATGACTTCATGTTGGCAAGACGCTCATGTTTCCACAGATAACGTTACGTTTAAATATATATCATCTCCCTTGTTCTGCCACAGATAATTAAAACGCACGTGAAATTGAAACGCTGGTAAATATTAACCTGTGCTAAAGGTCGCGCTATTGCCCATTACCGCTGTAACGTGGGAATATTCAAACGCTTGCATGTGGAAACGCAGCAACGTAAATGTTTGTATCAATATTTACACTCGGTTTGTGTGGTTTCCACATCGTAACGTACATAGTGTTTAATGTTACTGGTGACCCCAACCCTATAATCCATCAACATCATGTTAGTACGTCTACGTCATCTTAAGATGCTTGTCGGCCAAATCCGTGTCTGTTATTTCCTTAGAGCTTATTTCTCCGTCTCTTCAAACTCAAGTGTTCACCCGAATGCTTGTTAAACCGCGCGCACGGAGGAAACTAAAAATCTCATCGGAGCAACAGAGGCTCGCCGTAGCCGAGACCCTTCATCCCTCGGGGCCTGACGCGACGCGAAGGGTGATCGATCGGGGTGGGGGGAGCGCGACGGCTAAAAGGGGAACGTGACTCGGGACAGGAAAACGATGCGCGCGGCAAGCCTCAACCCATCATCACGCCAACTCCGCTCATCCTCGCAGCACCAGCGGCTTTTGGCGAGCTATCGAACAAAGATGATCGCCGCATCGCGCGCAGATGCGCTTCTGCGGCCGTCTGGAACGCTCTTCCTTCCGATATTAGGAAGCCATTGGAGCTTTGAACTTTTATATCATCTATGTTGAAAACAAATTTCTTTAAAAATGCTTTCAATGTTTAGTTTGTTATTCTTCCCCCGCACATCCTATTAGCACGATTGGCTATGTACGGTGCGAAACAAGTTCAACATACAAGCCAAGTGAAACGCAGAGCTGTGCGGACAATGCGCACCACAGTCCCAGCAGCGCAACGCAGCACGTCCAGCAGCGACTGTAAGCACCACTCAACGTCAGTTTGTGGCGCTTCTGAATGACGGAAATGCACTTTCATCATTTTCCCTTCCGTGAACTTGCAATGTTCCGAGCGGCCAATAAAAACGGCACGCAAGCACAAAGCAAACCGTTTGGTTTTGCGACGCGATTCCTGTTTGCGACAAGGCATTGGTTGTAAATCATAAACGAATGAGGACGTGAAAGCGGTTGTGGACACACTGATGTTTGCTTTAAGCCCCATCCGCGTGCGGCAAGCAACAGCGTGCACGTCGAGCGACCATTGAGGTTACGAGTTATAATATTGCCGGGCGTGGTGACGGTGGTGGTGGTCGTCTGCGATCCAGCGCCACGGAGGAAGGATCGTGGATGAGGTGCAGACCTAACGACCGAGCGTGCGCACAAGAACCCGGCTACCAGGGAAACAAGGTGCCGCCCGTGCGAGGCAGTACAGCAAGTAGGTCCCGCACCGTCATGTGCAAAGTGCCCGTGTTTGCATACTCGGAGGATTTCTACAAGCATTCGCGTTTCTCACCGAACCAAACACCAGACAGGAATTGGTCGACTTCCCAAGCAGGAGGTATCCTGTGTGCTGCCCTGGGCGTTAGACGTTTAAGTCATGTAGATCGCAAAGTTCCGTGCTGGCGTAGCCGGTAAGGGGGCCATCCATTTAGTAAGTACGCAAAAATCTGGCAAAACTTGACCCCTCCCGCCTCCCTGTATACACGTGTACTTTTTACACACCCCCCCCCCCCCATCTGCGTACATACGCTTGAATCCTATAGAACGGCCGATATTTAATCCACGCAGAAACGATCAAGGATTAATAATATTAACGTGTTTAAGCAAACAGATGGTGCACCGCCGGACTGTCTAACTCATTTGAAAGCCAATGTAGACAAATTATCATGGAGTCTTCACCCCCCCCCGTTGCCTATGCGTACATTGTCAGTAGACCTCCCCATACGCAAGCGAAGTGGCTGCGCGATTCGGAAATAGGGGGAGCGAACCTTCACCAATCCACGACGGAGGTTTTTTTGGGGGTACGATCGCGGTAGCTATAATTGTGGCGTTACACCCACCACTGCCCGGCACAGCCAATTAGTAAAGTTTGTCACGTAATCAAAACGTGCCAATTAGTTACGACTTCAGCACACCGCTTGTGTGTTGGAGAGTAAACCCACAAACATTGACAATTCGATTACGACGCTTCGCCGGTAATTACAACCAGCATTAATAGGCGACAGCCAGAATTGTAGACATCTTCCTGTTTCGGTCTTAAATAGAGGGATAAATGTGATGTCGTCACTTTCGAGCCGCATTTATATTTGACTTTATCTCACTCAAAACCTTCATTATGGATATCGACCGCGAAAGCCTATGTGTTAAACGAACCATCCCAATGTTAATGTTTGTGATGTGCAAGTTAATTAGGCTTACAGCGTGAGTTCAAACGATAACGAAACAACACACACAAACACACACGTGCACGCAAGTCAAAACATTAACATAATGACCCATTCGGGATTATACAGAAGCAATCATCGCTTCCTACTACGAAAAACTCGCCAGGATCTCCCGGAAAAAGCCACACGAGATGCTATGCGAGGCTTTCCTGGGTAGGCACGGCTAAATAAGAGCGCACACGGAAGAAGTCTCGACTGCACGCGCTTGTAACCCAGAACTCTCCTGGTCTCTTGGGCTAAAACGAAACTAATTTTTTTTTATGTTTTTACCAAGTTAAGGCGCACTGAGCTATGCAGCTCTTTTTGAGAAGCGACCTGTCACAAATGATAGCTCAACGAAGTGGCTTATCGCGTGTAAATGTATAGCAGCCAAATACTCTATAAACGCATGTTGATTCCAAGTGTGGAGGGAAAAACTGGAGGACCCGGAGAAAAATCCACCAAACCACGGGGAGAACATGCAAACTCCAAATATACAGGCGTCAGGGTCGAGATCGAATCCACAACTTCCTTTATACCAGGCGAGGTAGTTAACACCTCGCCAACCGTGGCTCTCGCCTGGTACAAATAAAACACTCTTGGAATTTGACCGCGAGGAAACGAGTGTGAATCCCCTCCTCTGGAAGCAGGCGACTTGCATGCGAAAGCATTTGCATCGGCAAAAAAAACACGGCTTTTGTAAAGTGTCTCAACCTCATTACGCCTCAGCTAGGAGCAACAACATCAAAGTTCAACACTGCCTACCCGCAACAGCGTCTCAACACTGTGAATCTAATGAGCGGATGATGACTTGCGTAGCCACTTTCAAAAAATGTAATCGATGGTAAGGTTCTCTTGTAGTAAGATAGGACGACAGACGATCACAGCAATCAGATGAGACACTCCAGGGCTGAGACCGCTCAGGTAAGGCGCTCCCCGAGCTAAGAAGATCTCTTTCAATGGTCATCAAACGGACAGCAACATCCGGTACCTTTAATAACCCATAGGGGTTGGCGGATTAATATTTTGTGGCCAAATCAGTGAGACTGTAATTAATTTCGCGAGATCCTTGAAAGAAAGGCGTCACGTTCGCGACTTACCAACGTCCATTAAAAATGTTTTGCTTTCACTGTAAACATTTCTTAAAGAACCCAGAATCACCACTGGACTTCACTCTGCGCTCAGCACACCCGTTTAACCTGCCCGCACGGAAGGGAATTGTTTTGCAAGGTAGCAGCTCCCTCTTGCCGTTATGGGCAGTTGAGTCAAGACGATCATCAAGCTCCCTAAACCCGAGCCCCATTTTCACCCCGTGGGAAGCAGTGAAATTTATGCTCAGAAGCGTTTATTAACAATTGATAGTGTCTCACTGGAGAATATCGCGCTCAATGCTCAAGGCTCCTGTTCAATAATTCTCCATAGGCAGCTCTCGTCAGCCTGCATATATCCATGCTGTATACAGCCAGTTACACCGCTCAGCGACAGGGCGTTTCCCGCTCATTGAAGAGGTTCGTGGTTTCGAGACCGGCAGGCCACCTTGGTTAATACCGCGGATGAGTTGGTCATAGACTGCGCTCCGTCTGCTTCCCAGTGGACCCTAAGAGATCTCGCGCCATCAGTCACGAGACCAGCCGTTGTGCACCGCTCACGCGATGCCCTAAATCTGCAGAATTTTAAACATTTTACCCCACAATTACTCAGTTGGGATTACACACGTGGCAATCATCGATCATCACCCCCCCCCCCCACTGGCAGATGCTGCTCACTTACAAGACGAGCCACCTTGAACTTGAAAACTTTTTTCGCACCTTGTATCACACAGGGACAAGCTGCCACATTTTAACTATCTGAGATGAGATGTGATGCGAGCGTTCTTGTGTTTAGTTTCTTGTTCTTCAGCACGGTTGGCTACTTGCGATAGTGCGAAAGAAGTTCAACGTACGTACGCACACACAAGCTGCTTCTCGCGTGTACAGTGCTTCAAGACGCCCCGACGACGTAACAGAGGACGCTCTATCAAAACAAATTATTATGGAAAGTGTGTGTGTGCTAAAACTTTACCAGTTGCATTAAAATATAGTTGAGAATCACACCTTGAGAACTGTCGCCAGGGAGTCTGCTAGTTGTTGTTCATGAGTATGTATGCATGTCGGCATTTGTTTATACATTTTCAGACTGTGCAGTGTATTTCTGTGCTATTTTGTGTTACATTTTTACAGGACTAATTACACAAAAATTGCATTGCCTATTTTTTTTTACACAAACAGAATGGAACTCAAGATGCAAGCAAACCCAACGTTTAAAATAAGACCAGCTCTAGCAGCCATCTCTCATTATTCAAACATAACTCTGTACATTGTAGTAAGAATCACCTTAGAGTGATTATCTTGTTACCAGCTTGATGTGATATCTCAGTTTGGATCTCCCGATAAGCACCGCTTCGCTAAACCAGCCAGAACGAAGTGAAGACTTCAAACTAATGCCATTAAAGCATCAGACAAAATGTTTAACCAACACTAATCATGGAATTACACAACCATCCGTTTCCACTAGCTATTGCTAAATAAGACAGTACACATCATGGACATAGCATCTAACACATGGGGCCCAGGCCAAACCCTGGCTCTTCAATGGAACCTGTGATGATTTGTGTTCCGTGCAATGCGCACACACACCAATGGGGAGTGCAGACGGCAGCAGCAAACTCCCGGTGTTGCGATGCACCGGCAGCGTGGAGATGCTGCTCACCATCAATAAAATAACACTCAAGACGTTCCCAAATGGGTTGTCCCGTGGTGGGGATCCAGGGCCAAGGGTTCACTGCGTGGCTGCATGTCGGCCCTGCGCCCGTCTGCAATCGTGTGTCCGTGATACCTGCGCTGCAGACGGCGTCACGTTTTGTCTGGACGTCTGTGACAAAACAAAAGCTTCATAGCCCATCGGATTTCTCCAGGATAGAGATTCTGATTCTGCCGTGATGCGAATAAAAACTAGGCCCTTGCCGAGGCATATGATCGGCTCCAGAGGGACCAATAACTCGTGCCATTTTGCAACGGCACCCACCCCCCCACACCGCCCCCACCCCCCCCCCAACACACCCCCGCAACCCTATCACGAAAGTCCGACAGGGGGCAGTGGTGCTGCTGCCGTGATTGGGGCGCCCAGCGTGGCCCAGCGTGGCCCAGCGTGGCCGGACGGCGCGTGGGGTGGTTCCTCCGGATGAGCGTGGGGGGGGGGGGGGGCACACGTGGCGCATTCCCTACAGTTCCTCGTAGTCCCCGCCGCCCTCGGTCGGGTCGCCCCCCGTGGCCGGGTCGCCCCCCAGGAAAGCCTCGAGCGCGCTCAGGTCGCTCCCACCGACACCACCACCACTGCCGCCACCACCACCAGCACCACCATCACTGGCACCCGCGCCCTTCTTCTTTTTCTTCCTCCTCTTCTCCTTTTCATCGCCAACTCCTCCTCCCCCAACCTCTTCCTTATCACGCTCCTTCTCCTTGTGCTTCTTGTGTTTGCTCCTCGACTTGTCCGGCCGCTCCTCCTCCTGGTGCGCACGGCGGGGGGGGGGGGGTGGACACAGCGCCCGTTGGGACGAGCGCGTTGTACGCAAGGCAATCTCGGTGTGCAGCACAGCAGACTACTGGAGCAGCAATGGCCAGAAATCTAAAAGGCTGAGGTCATGCAGGTTAATGCAGAGGTTATGTGACTGCTTTAGAGTCCAGGGCTAATGCCCGACTGAGCAGCTCAATGCGTGATTGTTTTATTCAGTTTTCTGGTGGTTATTAACTGGGTTCATGAGTCAAGAATGAATCTTCTGATCGCAGATAATTCACAATTTTTCATGGTGGCGAGAGGCTTCATTACAAATGCTATAAACTCCAATGCAAATCGCAACATAACCAAAACAGGAATCGCTTTGGAGGCAGGGTTAAGGATCATGCAGAGATCATTAGGGCGCCGTTGTGGCGAGATATTAACACCCCCGCCTGGTATACAGGAGGTCATGGATTCAAGCCCGACCCTGACGCCTATATATTTGGATTTTGCATGCTCTCCCCGTGGTCACGTGCATTTTTCTCAGGGTCATCCCAGTTTTTCCCTCCACAGTTAGAAACATGCGTTTAGAGTATTTGACTGCAATACATTTCCATATGATAAGCTGCTAAGTTGAGGTATCATTTGTGGCCCGGTCGCTGCTGAAAAAGAGCTATGTAGCTCAGTGGGCCTTACTTGGTAAAATAAAAAATAGTTTAGTTTTATGATAATTGGTTCTTTACCCTTCTATCTGGCAACAAAACTGACACCTTTTTGCAAGAAGTCATGTTTGCATAGACCGCAATACCTGCAGTCATAATACAAACAAAAGAACATAACTCTGATAATGTGCACTGTCCTTGAAGTTGATTGGTCCACACCCGAGACAGCTTTCCTTCGAGCCTAGTCTCATATGGGTTGGACCAGATGACGCCAAAAGGCGCACAACTCAAGGACAATGCACCATCAGAGTATGAGAGCTCGGGGCAAGCATCTACACTATGGGGACCTCATTTGCCAGTAAAAATATGATAATTGGTTCTTTACCCTTCTATCTGGCAACAAAACTGACACCTTTTTGCAAGGAGTCATGTTTGCATAGACCGCAATACCTGCAGTCATAATACAAACAAAAGAACATAACTCTGATAATGTGCACTGTCCTTGAAGTTGATTGGTCCACACCCGAGACAGCTTTCCTTCGAGCCTAGTCTCATATGGGTTGGACCAGATGACGCCAAAAGGCGCACTGTTGTGTGTGTGGTCAGCTATACGTCCAATCTGGAGGGCTGCAAGCTGATCTAACCAAACATGTGGCTATAAGAAGACCCTGCTTCCACTTTCTGGACCTTGTCCTGATGACACATAACGTGGTTTCAAGTGAGACGTCCCATCTAACCGCTCGATTTATTTGCGAGAATTGTCCTTCGGTTTACTTGCGAGCTGAAACAATAAACAATTTGAGTGCGTTGGACAACTCGCGACAAATTAATTTGTTTGGCTGTGTCGGGTGATGGAGGGCACTTAATGATACACATTTTGTCTTCTGCAACAGTGTAAAATTACTTTGTATACTTTAATTAAATATTTTGTCATAATGCAATAAAAAATACAGCTACCCGGTTGTGTTCCAACTGAATATCGACCGTACGTTGTGAAATGTGAATCACAAATATTCTGATATACATTGCACAAAATTACGTTATATATACACTACACGATGACACGGATGGTCATTGTGTTGTGCGCTGTTTAGCTTTACGTCGAACGAGGACCAAATCTCGCAGGGCAGGTCCTTACCTATAAAACACCTGGCAGTTCACCAGCATTGGTTCAAGCAAGCCTGACTGCTGGTGAGACGCTGAATGCCGAAAGTGATCATCCAGATGCAGGTTGTATTAAACCAATGGTGTCGAGAAAAAAAAGTCACTGCCACAAGGCCGTGCGGCCGATGGGCTGTGCGACTGTTGGACGTGGAGATGCAGATGTGGGAAGGAAGGCGATGGTCTACGCATGAATTGTTTGATATGCGGCAGTCGTTGGAATTGTTGACTGAACGTGGGAGTTGTCATCGTCCGCTCACCTTCTCCTTTTCTTTCTTTTTCTTCTTCTTTTTTTCTTTGGACAAATCACTGCCAGGTTTATCTGTGGGTCACAGCACAAGGCAGGGTTATCTGTGAAAAGCCATGACCGGGTCACAGCACAAGGCTGGTTTAAATGTGAGAAAACGATGTCCGGGTCACAGCACAAAGCAGGAGTACATTTCTAAGGGTCATTGTGATTTTACAGCTGTTAACACGTCTGAAAATGTTGCTGCAAACACGTTCACCATGGTGAGCAAATTCGTTCAGTATTTAGATACATTTCTGAAAAGGAACCCTCTTTAACATTCCACCTTTGGGCGGCAGACCGCCAGACTGACAGACTGAAGAGACCGACAGAGCGGTCTCCCTGGGCCTTTGAGCAGTGGAGGGAGGCAGTGGCTGCGTGGCGCAGAGGGCTATGTCTCGGCACTGAGGGGCACTGTTGGCTCTGCGGGTTTGAATCGGGGCATTCACTCCGAGTTAACCTCTCAAGTCAAGTGATTGGGGCGCTGCGGTGACGAGATATTAACTACCTCCTTGCCTGGTATGCAGGAGGTAGTGGGTTCAATCCCAGACCCTGACGCCTGCTGCTCTATGTTTGGAGTTTGCATGTTCTCCCCGTGGTCGCGTGGAGTTTCCTCCCGAGTCCTCCGGTTATTTCCTCCATATTTAGAAACATGAATTTACAGTAGTTGGCTGCTGCTATAGATTTCCACATGATAAGCCACTTTCGTTGAGCTATCATTTGTAGTCAGGTCGCCTCTGAAAAAGAGCTACATAGCTCAGTGGGCCTTACCTGGTAAAATAAAAGAGTTGTTTAGTTCGTAATAATAGTTCAGATTGATGTTTTCAGCCCAGTCACCGATAAATCGGTCTGAGAATCTCATAAAAATTGGAACTGTCCCCAAAGAATAAACCCAAGCAGGCTCAGACACAGAGCAGCTTCAGCATAGAACGATTTCCCGAACACATCCGGATATGATGCCACCAATCTCATCTTATTTAAATGTCTAATTGAAATCCACTTCCACTGCATCTGCAACCGTTCCAGCTACAGTGCTTTCTATATGATCCAGCGTTGTGCGCCATTAAATTACTTCTGTATTTATTCACGTATTCTTAGGTTTTTTCGGTAAAGTCACGTAGGTAAAAACATAAAAAAGTAAAATAAAATAAAAATCACGACGTTTCGGAGGCAACACAAGCTTCCGTCTTCAAGTGGTACCGTCACAGCCACGACAGCTGTATCAAGTAAATGAGAGATTGCAGGGGCTACCACTCCGTTTATATAATGGTTGGAGAAGATGGTGGGGCAAGGGCCGCATACTTTTTATTAATATGGTAAGGTGAGGCTTAAGACTAAGAATAGACTGCATAACAAAGGCTGAGCCTTTGTTATGGAGAGGTGCGGTTTGTGACGCAACCTGTGACAGGGGGACCACCATTAAACATGGTAAAACTGTAATGGTTCTCTGTCAAATAAGATTGACAAATAAGTGTAGTTAAATCTTTTTTGCATGGTTAATCACATCTTTCCAATGATTACTCAGTTTGTAACCGTCATCACGGTTGAAATTATGTCTGTTTGTATATTTGTATGGCTTCGTGTACAAACCTTTGATGGTAGCCAGGAGGTTTGCAGAGAACCTTGGTCTCGGAAAATACAATTTCATGAGAGCCCACCGAGTTGTAGCAATGATGGTGGGCTCTCATGAAATTGTATTTTCCGAGACCAAGGTTCTCTGCAAACCTCCTGGCTACCATCAAAGGTTTGTACACGAAGCCATACAAATATACAAACACAGACATAATTTCAACCGTGATGACGGTTACAAACTGAGTAATCATTGGAAAGATGTGATTAACCATGCAAAAAAGATTTAACTACACTTATTTGTCAATCTTATTTGACAGAGAACCATTACAGTTTTACCATGTTTAATGGTGGTCCCCCTGTCACAGGTTGCGTCACAAACCGCACCTCTCCATAACAAAGGCTCAGCCTTTGTTATGCAGTCTATTCTTAGTCTTAAGCATCACCTTACCATATTAATAAAAAGTATACGGCCCTTGCCCCACCATCTTCTCCAACCATTATATAAACGGAGTGGTAGCCCCTGCAATCTCTCATTTACTTGATACAGCTGTCGTGGCTGTGACGGTACCACCTGAAGACGGAAGCTTGTGTTGCCTTCGAAACGTTGTGATTTTATTTTATTTTACTTTTTTATGTTTTTACCTACGTGACTTTACCGAAAAAACCTAAGAATATGAATCACTGCAGTCACGAAAGCTTCAAATCTAGAATTTATTCACGTGTTTGGCTGGCTGCGATGTTCATTTTATTGATGCAAACCGTTTCAATTACAGATTTTAAAAGTTGGGACATGTCGTCACGTGTTTGCTATGTATGTGTAAATCAATACCCTGGACACCCTTGCAAATGAGATGTATTAACCAAGGCGGCCTGCCGCATTTGAACGTTGAACCTCGCGCGCTACCGCTGTGCCACCCCACCCACCCTGAGTATGGCCGAGAGGTGAATGAAGGGGTCAGCAAGGTCTTTCTGTAATATCATCATCAAAAAGGCCATTCTCTAACACAGGGTGATGCACTTCTTTCTGTGAGGGTTCCTCATGGAAATTGCTTCGTCTCAACACATACTGCTGAGAGGACAATTTGAACACAGTAACACCCAGATATACACCCTCCTGCTTTACGTACTTTTGCAAAAGCATACTCAACATATTGATATTTCGGACCGTACATAGCCAACCGCTCCCCCACAATGTTATGTACCTTGGCTACACATTGAGGCATCAGATGGCGCTCAAGCATTCGCGTCCCTGACTGGCTATAGTCCCTTTCATGTGTACACTATTGATATTTTTGTTCCCCACGTACCGTATTTATTGTGAATATTTTTTATACAAGTGTGAACTTTTTTTTATACAATGAACAACTAATAATAGGAATCGTATAATAGACAAGGTAATATATCTTAAATCAATCATATACACTTACGTTCCACACCGATGGTTGTACAGAATTTATTCACAATGGGTTACTGGGTATCATCTGTTTAGGTACTGTATCATGTTACGATCCACCAACCCACCTCTAGTAGAGTACCTACTACTAGTAGTACTAGAAGGTTCTGTGCCACATTACGATCTACCATGCCATCTCTAGTAGTAGTTCCTACTAGTAGTAGTACTTGTAGTTGGTACTGTACCATGTTACAATCCACCAGGAAAGCATCCTGGGTGTAAAACCGGGGTTATCCTCTGTGCGTGGATCTGCGCGAATTCCTGCCAAGTCAAATGGCGGCTTACCGTCGTCGCTCAGCAGAGTAAACGGGGCGGGCGGAATGAAATCCAGGGAGAGCTTCCCAACGGGAGGCGCAGCAGGCAGACTCCCCGCAGCGCGACGCGGCACCGCAGCAGCGGCGGCAGCAGTAGGAGCCGCCGCATCATCATCGGAGAGGTCCGACACATCCTCCCGGACTGGGAAGAGCTCCTGGACAGAGGGGTGCACGCGGCCGTGTGGGGGCGATGAGCGGGGAAACCCGAGCTCGCAATCGCGAGCCCACGTCGGGAATCGAATGAGATTTCTCACGTGAATCGTGAGCTTGTTGCAATCGTAGAATCATTAGAGTGTACGGAATCAGGAATCCCTCTAAGCCTGCCATCTGGAGGCAGCTGTTGGAATTGTCCACAGACTCCCGATTAATTTCAATGGAGATACTGGAATGGCCACTGAAGTTTATGGGAATTCCATTGGACAATTTGATTTTCAACACAGTTGCAGAGCACAGGTCCAAAGACCCAAAACGTCACATGGCCAGCAACAAACAGTAACTATCATCGAAGTTGTAACAGATGAGAGATGTGAATTGAATTGAACAAGGTTATTGCGATCGCTTGGGAAAAGAGATGGGAGGAGGGAAGAAGTAGTGGTTGGGTGGTTGGGCGAGTGGCTTCGGCGAGTGGGTAAGTGGGTGAGTTAGTGAGCGAGTGAATTGTTGTCAGTGGTTGAGTCATCTGGCAGACCAAGTCCTCAACATGGGTGGAGGAATCAATGAGTGAAGTTCACAGAGACAGCAACGATGGTAGTAGTGATAGAAGAGTGATGGGGAGGTGACCGACCACCAGTGAGCAAGTGACTGGAGTAAAATACAGGGTGTTTTAAAAAGATGGATCCAATTTCAAAGCAGTATATTTCACGATGGCAACATATTACAACTACACAAAAAGCTACAAACACTTTAATGAGTTATTAGGTTTTACTAACCATTTTATAAATGCTCTATGTGCCCTCCACCTGCTGTATGGACAACATCGAGAAGATAGTTGAATTCGTCCCAAACGCCTCTCTTCTCACGTTTTTCTCTGAGGTGCGTGGTCGCCCTGCGCTCTTCCCCTTACATAAACAGCCTGTTTCCTCAAATTGTCGGTACCAACGACGCATGCTCTTTGACATTGGCGGATCAATGCCAAAACGCCGTTGAAACGCACGCTGCACTGCAATTACGGATTCAGTCTTGCTGAACTGCAGAACGCAAAACGCCTTGTGTTGTGGGGTCACCATCTTGCGAATGACTGAGGCTCGGGCCTGTTTGTGTGCTGGGAGAGGCATATAGCGGTAATCATTTGAAACTCTATGCCCCGTCCTTTCAAGTGGTAAGAGTTTCACTCATCGGCGGTTCGTGGTTGCAGAGATATCGCGATTTCAAATCGGGTCCACCCTGTAGTTGAGTGCTGGATCATTAATAAATCCACATTTATTTTAGTGGTGATGCCTGTCCTCTATGCCACAATCTCTGTTGGAAGACAAAGCATTAGAACGAAGATATTTACAGGGAATGGGCCCACACAAAAATCACAATTCCTGCAGGAATCATCCACGGATATTCCGAGTCTCCTGGGGCACTCGGCTGCTTCCTCACATGGATTCGTAATCCGGAGATCTCGAGTTATCCGAGACGGCTGAGCAGTCTCCAATCCACTCTCACGAGGGCTCCGCTTGAGATGTTTTGACCTTTTCTGTTTACATTTTAAATGTATTCCAAAAATAAGGGAAACATACGAGTACGGAGGGATGCATCCTACATTTCACCCGATAGGTCAAAGGCTACTTGCTGCAGTCCCCTATGTTGCCATGTAGAGGTGGGTGTCTCAGATAACTGGAGTTCTCCCGGTTACGAATCCACATGAGGAAGCAGCCGTGTGGCCCTGGAGGCTCGGAACATCCATGCTGGAGAACCGAGCCAGAACCGCGGGATTCTAAAACTAAACTATTTTTATTTTACCAGGTAAGGCCCCAATGAGCTATATTGAACTTTTTCAGAAGCGAGCTGGACACAAATGGTAGCTCAACGGAGTGGCTTACCAAGTGCAAAATTTATAGCGGCAGCCAAATACTCTTTGTAGCAGTCATCAGCTTGGACCTGCGATGCAGCAAAGATGGGTTCAACCCGGGCTTCAAGTACAGCGAGTCCATCGCAGCCTGGTTACCGGTGATGAGTGCCCTGCCATTCTTGTGGGAATGGTATTCGAATCCCATAATTCCAACGTGGCTCCATCTGTGCGTGACTCGCATACTCTGCCCTCAAGTCTCGCAACCGCCGTCATACATCACCACTCTCACACGAGGCGGCGATGCTGGACCCCCATTCAGGTGCTGATGCGAAACGTCAATAACGGCACCGTGGGGCATCTCTCCCCTCACGATGTATCCCGTGGGCGCCCTGTCAAAGGCTACGCAGTCCGAGGTGTGGTGAGGAGGCCGCCCGCAGTGCAACGCTCACCTTGCTCTTCTCCGGCTCGTCTGACTCAAAGTCAGGATCATCCAGGACAAAGGAGAGCATCTGCTGAGCAATGGGCCCTTCCGTCTCGCTCTCCTCTTCGCCCTCTTCGCCCTCCTCCCCAGCGGCCTTGTCCACCCACACCGGGCCCCCGGTCTTGCCCGAGGCCTTTTCCGAGAAAGGCAGCCCTCCCATGGTCGGGCTGCCGGCGGCGTGCCCCCTCTCTGCCACCGCGCCCAGGGCGGTGGGGGCGGCCGAGGGTGGCGCGTTGCCGCCTGCCTTGGCACCGTGGCCCATGCCATGCGCCTTGTGCGGAGGCTTGGCAGGCCTACAGTCAGACAACACAACCCAAGTCACGTATCTCACAAAGCCTCTACGTCAAACACCAATTATGGTTTCAAAATTGATCTCTCCGGAATGATTCTTCCGTTTTGTACCGTGCTCCAATACCGAAATTACCGAGGCCTTTCTCTTGCCGCCCCCCACAATCCCCTCTACCGTCCCAGTGGTCCCACATAGGCCGTAAGGTGAAGACATTTTACGTTTAATCCCGTTCCCATATATGGGGCACTAAATTCTTTTCATTCTAATAAAAAGATCTATTGTTTTTGGGCGTGAAAATAAAAGTTCTCCATGTCTAATCCTGCAGTTTATTTTTTTATTACTGTTTAAAGTCGGCAATATTTCTTTCCTCGCGTAATCATATTTTGATCATCAGTGATGAGGCTTCGCGGAACAATCGTCACGTGCTTCCCGCTAGACCAATAAGGTGGCCGCTTTTTAGGACGAGAGGTAAACATTAGTCCAAGATGTCTGCGCCCTTGTTGTCAATATCGAGTAGTGAAGAGAAGGAAATTACGGCCAGACCTCCTTCAAAAGTCCATAAAAAGTATTTTAAACAATGCTACATGCATCTCACGTCCATAAAGAAAGAAGAAACAAAGGATTTCACACGCACACGGTGGGATACACTCATAAACTGCATCAAACGGTGGCTTTTTTTGCAAGTTGAGAATCGCAGAATAGCAGAAACATACAAACATTGTCTAGAAATCGAGTTTGACAATGTTCCCGAAGACGCTGGGTTTCACTCCACTTTCTACAGCCGTTTCATTGACAAAAAGCGCTTGGATGCGGCCGAGAAACGGGCCACACAGCGTCCTGAAGCTCAAGATCAAGGCCAGTCTGTGCCATCGGGTAGTAACGTTAGTATCGCTGCAGTTGATTGTCCCGCAAATAAACTTAGGTCCAGGACCGGCCTGCCAGTAGCTTGTGCTGGTCCTGTGCTTTCTGCCTTGTGCATAATTTGTAAGAAAACGGACAAGTACATTACTGTGGGAGGCAAACGCCAGAAGGACCATCTTTCACAGGCAGAAACGTTGTCAGCAGGTAGGTAAAAACAAAACACACACAAACACACACGTTTGAACTTTTATTCCCTTATACTGGGTACCATGGCTAACTTTCAATTACAATTACATAATTTATGTAATGTTTATTTTACAGTCAGAGACAGATTTGCATTGTTTTGCATACAGCTACAGCCAGAACACTCAATATTGTTTAACTGTTAACACAGTTTTTTATTAGTTAAATTAGTTTTTATTTATTCATTTACAGGCAATTTGCTGAAAGCTGCTGAGATGAAGTAAGACACTAGCATTCTTGTGCATATTCGAGACAAAGACTGTCTCTGGAGGTGCGATACCACAAGCCCTGTTATAGACAGTACACCAGGTTCTTGACAAAGTCTAGTGCATCAGTTACTGCGACCTCAGAAGAACAGTGAGTTAGCAATATTTTATATTAATAAATAATAATTAATAATTCCCTCACATTTTCACATTTCAAAAGTAGGAGGTTGGCCCGTGATTTCCCCCAGCTGGTGTTTCACTCCCCCAAGAAGCGCAACATAAGTGAGATGGTTTTCGTTGAAACATTGTCTGCAGATAAGCTGATAGACAGGCTACCTCATCCATCAGGTACAGAAACAACAGAGTCAACTGAGGTAACTAGCGAAAGTGACTGAAAACAGGGCTAGTGCAAAAGCTGGTCCACAAAGACCAAGTTCAATGGCCTCCATCAATACTGCAGATGACACGAGGACACTTTACAGTGCGGCATTAATATTAAAGATGCTTCTGTGTGACTCTCCCGGTATGAAATGCCCGTGGCCACCCACATCATATGACCTAAATGTGAGCGAGGCAAAATCTGTCGTTCCAATTGAACTGTACAATCTGATTTCCTGGATTATGGGTGCAACTGAGGAACTAACACTGGCCCATTATGTTGATATTCCAGATGATTTGAACCTAAAAGTGATATATATCTGTCAAGACATTGTGTATCTTGCATCTAAGGGTCGGAGGTAGACCCCTAAATCATTGTGTCTTGGTCTAACGGTTCGCCATTTAACAGGTTCATCACAAATTGTGTCACTTCTAAATAGACTAGGACATTGTGCAGCATGGGACACAGTTGTCAGTCTAGACACTAGCCTTGCCCAACTTCAACTAGTAGAGGGCAGAGACAAAATACCAAAGGGATTCTCAAAGAAGGTTCCTACAGTACTTGTGTGAGACAATATTGACTTTGGGGAGGAGACACTGTCAGGTCGTGGAACTACCCACCACACAAATGGGATTATGCTGCAAAGATCTGTAGTTGAACCTGTGTCAACAACAAACAGACAACCACTACAGAAGGGAAAAACCTCATTGAAAGTACCCCCTAGCATCCCTGTCGAACAGTACCATCAGTCTAATAGACAAGGACCACAGAACTTGTTTCATTAGGAAAGTGTTCCATTACAGGCGGACACATACAAATTGAACACGGTGTCTGCTGTACAAACTGAACTGGCATATGTTTTTGTAAAGTCCATAGATGCTGAAAGATACACAATACCAAGCTGGACAGGTTTACATACATTACTTCAAGGTGATGGCACTCTGCAAAAGTCAGCACTGTATTATCTTCCAGTCATTGAGGCTTCACTGGCAGAATTCTGAAGCGAAGTGTCCAAATTTATAATCAGCTAGAACTGGACCATATAGTGTTAGTTTTTGACGAAGCTATATATGCCAAAGCTCAGCAAATCCGCTGGAAAGATGATGACTTTTACTCAGCGTAAAGTGATTAGACTAGGTGAATTTCACACATGCATGTCCTACCTGAGCATTCTAGGAAAAAAGTTTGGAGATGCAGGACTGCAAGACATACTCATTGAGTCCAAAGTTGTTGCCCCAGGATCCATCAATGGAGTATCAGTGGTCATCATTACAACCGCAGCATGAGGGCACACAAACTTCTGTATGAGAGTCTGCAATGCATGAGACTTCTCACCTTCTTAGATTTTCTGCCACAAGAGGAGAGATATGAGTGTCTGGATGCCATCAATGAGATCAAATGTGCATTCCCGGAGAGAACAATGGTTGTTTTGTGTGCAAATGAGATATTTGACAAAATGTGTTCGAAATATGAAGACTTTGTTAAAAGAAGTGCAGAAAACCCAACGTTTGCCTTCTGGAGTTCATACATCGACATTGTATAGATACTCCTTCTATTTGTGAGAGCAACACGAGAATCGGATTGGCAGCTTCACCTGTCAACAGTGCGCTTGATGATGGCAAATTATGCTAGGTATTTATCTTCTTATTGGCTGGAAATGATCAATTTGTCCATCACACATCCTTCTTGCCACAGTGAGCTCAGTGTTAAAGGCCAGTGGACTGTCCAACGTCAAAGTGTCCATGAATTTGCCTCGATTGCTTGTGACCAGGCCATTGAGCAAACATGCAACAGAGATTCCAAGACAAATGGTGGTTGGACAGGGTTAACACAGAATCGGGCTGCAGTATATCGCTGGATATTGTCGCAACATGAAAGGGCTGCCATAGCAAGACAATGTGAGGCAATGGCAGGTAAATCTCCCGATATAAGGAAACGAAAAGATCTTGACAGCACCCAAATTCATGCTGATGAAAGGGCTGTGACCAGAATAATTTCCACCCTAGATTCCATGCTGAATCCTTTTGACACACACCAAGATGGCATTGTGTGTCTTAGCTCTGGGACAGTAGCAGCTGAAGAAATCATATGGTATTTGCTCGCAGCTCCGGAAAAGGGGGAAAATGCTGTCAAAAAGTTTATGGACCAAAGACTGTTATCACCATCAGTTGACATATTTGGTCCCATCAAAACACAAAAACTGAAGACCTTTAGTGACCAAGCAAAGACAAAGAAGAAATCTGCAGCAGGCAAAGAAGTGATTCTACGTGCCGACAAGAAACTATTCTCCAGATTACTCGTCATAGATCAAAGTAGAAAAATTGACCTGCGGAAAATTCTGTCTTACTCCTTGGGAACTGTGTCATATCCTTTAGGCAGTGCTGATGGTTCACTTGCTAAAACAAACAAATCAGCTCTTATGGATTTATTGTAAACCAAAGGTGGAGACTGCTTAGTTGACAAAGTTCTGACAGATGGAGCTATTCTTTTTGATGGCATGGCAGTCATTCAAGCCATTCGGTCAATACCAAGTACCTTTGGAGAGCTTGCAGAGACCATACTGTAGTACATAGTCAAACTTGCTCTGAAACACAACTGTACACGGATAGACTTTGTGATTGACCAGTATCCAAATATGAGTATTAAAAACCTAGAACGGTCACGTAGAGCTGATGGTGGTATACAACTGGTGAAAATTTATGGACGGGATCAGAAGACACCAACACAATGGAAAAAGTTTCTATCAGATGAAACAAACAAAGAAGCACTGGAAGAATTCCTCTATGTTGTGTGGCGAGAGGCTGATCTTACCACTGGGGAATGGACTTAAGCTTGTACATAGCACATGGAGACCTGTGTCACTGCGTGACTGTAATGGAGGGTTTACATACTCTCAGTGCTGTTGAAGATCTGACATGTGATCATGAGGAATGTGACACCAGGGTGTTTTTACATGCACAACATGCTGCACAGGAACATCAAACTGTAGTCATCAAAAGCCCTGATACTGATGTGGCAGCGATTGCTTTAAGTCTGCAGCCAGATTTACCATGTAGGTTGTATTTTTTCACAGGGGTTGGCAACAAAACAAGGCTCATTGACTTAGCTAAGGTGTTGTCAGCTCTTGGCACAAGTGTCTGTTTGGCACTTATTGGGATCCATACCTTCTCAGGTTGTGACTCTACAAGTGCCTTTTATGGCAAAGGCAAAAGGCATTTTCTGTTGCTTGTGAGAAAGAGGAATATCTGACTGCTTTTACAAATCTGGGTAGCAGTTTTAACCTAGACCAGTCTACTTTTGAGCTACTTTGCACATATGTGTGCCACCTGTATGGCCAGTCATCTGCCGAAAATGTGAACGATGCAAGATACAAAGCATTCTGTATGGCATCGTCAGCTTTTCCAGAACTATCCATGCCCCCGACAAGTGACGCCCTGTACCAACACTGCAAAGGGCAAACTACCAAGCAGCCATAATGAGACATTCTCTGAAAGGTATAATGTGTGCCCCTTCACCCGTTGGCAATGGATGGCACCTCGAGGATGGTGAGTTAACAGTGACCTGGATGACTAGAAATCCTGCTCCTGAAAGTGTGTTGCAGGCAGTCCACTGCAGTTGCAAGCATAGCAAATGTGAGACTGGAAGATGTTCCTGTATGTCTGCAAGACTGTCTTGTACTGATTTATGTCGGTGCCAAAATTGTGCAAATGTTTCACAGGAAACAGAAGAAAGACCTACATGGGATGATGGCTCTGATAGTGATAGGGATGATACCGATGAGTAAATATGCGCTGTGTTATAATTTAAGGTGATTTTGAGCTGTAAAGAATCTGTGGTAGAAATGTAAATTTTTTTGGCAGCATTCCAAAACAAGGGAACAGTATAACATTTCGAGTCATTTAAGCCAACTTGGGCCAAAGTGTGCTTATATTTGTATCTTTCTGTGATTACACAGTACCTACTGAAAATGTTGATGTACAAAACATCACAGTTTTGCTAAATTTTAAATGTTTATGTTTGATTTTGCTTAGTGCCAATCCGTGAAGTTGAAGCATATTTTCTACAAATGTGCCATATTTCATGGTCTACATTCACACTTGAGTATATAATGCACCAAAACCTGTCTCAATTGTTTAGGTACATGTATAAGTGTCAGTTTGAGAGATATTTGGTGTTGCTAAAATGTATATAAATAAAGTTACAAACAAAACCAGCAGCATAAGATTTTCGTTTTTTCCAATTCACAACATTTATGGATTTTGAAAAAAAACTGCAGGGTATTTTGCGGAGAACTTTTAACATAAAGTCGAAAATGGTTTTGTCTATGAAAAAAATCATTTAAAAAGTAGTTCCCAGGTGTGGGAACGAAAATCATTTTCTAGCCACTTTTTCCTAGTTCACCTTACGGCCTAACAGCACCGCTGGGGAGGGAGTCGGGAGCCCCCTACAGGCCATTTAGAGTGTCTGTCGTGGCTCCTCGCAGACAGCTGAATGCCTGTGCAAATAACTGACACGGTCAGACGTTCCGACTCTGCAGACGAATTGCGCTCGGGAAGCTCCTTCAGGTGGTTGTTGCACAGATACCCGAGGCTTTTTCATCTGTATATTGTATGTATCTTCTCACCTTAGGTAGGAGTGACCTGAGTCCTGAAGTTCCCTCCGATTAGAATTTAGACCACAGCACGGCATGAAAACAGTGCGGCGGAGGAGGCTGTGCAGTGGTTGGGCACACTGTACAACGAATCTGGCAACTCCAGTTAGATTCCCAGCCACAGCTAACACCAACCTCACCAAGTCTCGTCTCTATCGGGAGGATCCTGCCATGTTTTCACAGTAGGGGGCGATGTTGCTGCTGTATGTGTGATCCCCGCTGAGTAATTTGCAGTGGAGATCACACATTGGAATATTTTTGGCCAATACCAGTTACAGTGTATCGCTATTGGAAGAAACCAGAGAACCCAAAGGAAACCTTTGCAGATCAGGGAGAGAGAATACACAACTTGCAATTTCTACTTGGACCACGCAAAAGCGAGAGCAGCAGTTGGTGGCCACCCTGATTACAATCCAGTAGCTCCCCATTGTGTGCACGTACACGGCACACGCTCGCCGATATAAAGTACAGAAAATAGGACACTGCCTCTTACGCATATCTGCCCCTCCACATTAAAAATAAAAGTTACACATCCCATCGGCTGCTCAGCCTTCTGGGAATGCGTAATTTCAGCAGCATTTATTTACCACAAGCGAACTATGGACCGGTCTCAGCATTTGTGTCTCATCAATAGTCAAGCTTGCTCAAACCGATGCTCGCGAACTGGCAGATTTTCGGCACCGACTATATGAAGCATGGCGATTATTTTGTGACGTGGACATCTCGTGCACGGAAGTCGTCATACTGTGGAACTTCTGAAAGAAACGTCATCAGTAATATGCGGACGACCTGACCGTGTTTCCTCCTCTGATAAGATGTCCCGGTCGGCCATGACGGTGATGGCGGCAGGAGGGGCGCCATCCTCGTCGCTGGAGAGCGGCTCGGGGGCGCGAGGAGGCTGCAGGGAGACCGCCGCGCGGCTCACGGGGGCCTCGTCCTCAGGGTCCAACTCGTCCTGGAAGGAGGCGACCATGGGGTTTCCTCCCTCACCATCACTGCGTTCGCAGGGAAGCACACACGGGCACGCATGGCACCGCACGGCATTGAACGGCACCACATGTCACGCTTGCGGCACATAGCAAAGCAGGGCTCGCGGCGTAGAACAAAAGTGCGGAGACAATCGTAGGTACTGCACAACCAAACAGAAAGACACGGCTATGCTTCATGACCAATTGAAAAAAACAATTAGGTTCTTAGGGCTGTCTGCCTCATGGATTCAGATGATTGTGGCAAAACACAAGCTCGTTATTCATTAGCCACAACCGGACATTTAGTCCATAATTTATGCGGTTCTCATCCCGCTACGCCATGGGAGGTGGCTCACGTGAACTCCCGGGGCCCGGGGTCTCGGGGGTCCGGGGTCTCGGGGGTCCGGGATCTTGGGGGTCCAGGGGTTTGGGGTCTCATACCTGTCGCTGTCTTCGGCGGCGCGGACTGGGGGCCGAGCGGGACCCCTGTCCAGGACGTCCTCCAGGAAGCTGCGGTCGAGCGTTCCCTCGGGGGCGAACTCGTCCACGCTCTGCATGGCGGGGCGACTCGCGGCCGTGTCCACCTCCACCTCTACCATCACCACAACGACCACCACCGCAACCAACACCATCGCAACCACCACCGCAGTCACCACAACCACCACCGCAGTCACCACCACCGCAACCACCACCACCGCAACCACCACCACCGCAACCACCACCACCGCAGTCACCACCATCGCAACCACCACCACCGCAGTCACCACCGCAACCACCACCGCAGTAACCACAACGGCAGCCCAACACAGAGACAGCGTAAACAAGGACGTAACGCGGCTATTTCCCATCTATGTCCTTGCAAATTAAAAAGATAAAAGTTTACACATCCCATCAGGAATACCAGCCTTCTGGGAGTGCATAATTTCAGCAACTTCAGTATATTACATGCAAAACACTGGACCGCATTCGACATTCAGCGTCTCATTGGCAGTCGTCAGATTTTCTTGAACCAATGCCGGGGAAATGCCATGTGTTTACAGGCAAGGAACATCCCTGTTAGAAATGAGTCCTGGTTCGATGCAAAACTACAACACTGTAGGTAATATAGAATCATCTTTAGCGTCATTGTGGAGAATATATGTAACGACATAAGCACGCAGAAAATTCGACTCCGCCCCATATCTGTCGCTCCAAATAAAACATCTCAGTATCTTTTAAAAAGCCACCTCAACAGAGGCGCAAGTGTCATCACAGCACAACCATCCCATCCCAACCACCGCTGTTACCACCGCAGCAGCAAGGTCTACCCACAGGTACACCTGGATCACGAGCTAACGGTTCCAATCCTTACAAGCGGAGAATAAAACCTTGCTTTTGATCGGCGACAGTTTTGTCGCGTGGCAGCGAAATGGAAACCTCCCTTTCTCTCAGCAGACGAATAATACGACTTCAAACGAGAAATGAATATATGAATATGGACACATTAATAAAATGGAACTTGGGAAAATACAATCAAAACCAAATACTAAACAGGAAACATCTTTGTATAACAGACAAATAATAGTGGATTTTTTACAACCCTCATTTCATTCGACAGCACCTGAAGTCAAGTAAGAAAAGAGACAAGAGATTCGTGTAAGCCGAGCTTCATTCTCAATTTTCAAATGTGCAAAATTGATGATGGTGACGGTGATACTGTTATTGCTGCTGATGCTGCTGGTGACAATGTTGTAATGTATGCATGTTGAACTTTTTCACACCGTATGTAGACGAACATGCTAATCGGAGGTGCGGGGGAAGGACAACTAACTAAACAACAGAGACACTGCTACTGCTGACGATGACGCCCCCGTTGCTGGTGACGATGCTGCTGCTGCTGATAATAACAATGATGGAAATTCTGGTTGGCAGCATCATGAGCTGCGCTCGTGGACTCCGGAGTAACCCCAGCACCCCGGGGAAGACTCCAAGCTCGACGAACCTGGTTTTGCGGCTGCAGGATCGGGGGTCGACGACCCAAACAATCGTGCCATGAAGCCCCTCCTCTGTGGGGGGGCGGCCATGGGCTGCTCAGCCTGGGGGGGCCCAGGAGGAGCAGTGGGGGCTCCCGCAGCCTAGAGGAGCGCAATGAGGTGGGGGGCGTGAATTCGCAAAGTCAGAAGCCTTCCATAGTCTCAACAGCCTGGGAATAAAAAAAATGTAAAGCCGATGCCGAGAGAATGAGCCGTCATGAAACTTAACCTGACAGGGCAAGAAACCACTGCCAACGTCAAGTCTCTTTGGGAGCCCTCGGTCAGGCGCAGCAGTACGGTGCGCTACGGGCGTGACGCGCTACGGGCATGACCCGCACGGCGAAGAGGGGGGGGAAGCAGAACCATGCACGAAAACCAGTGAGCTCGCTCTCGACCAGTGTCCCAATGTGCCAGCATGCGTGCAAATAAAAGGCAGTGCAGCGGTGAGGAAGGCTCAACTCTCCACACAAACGGGGCGGCGAAGCACTGAGAGAACGAGTCTTTCGACTGTGCTAGAAGGGCTCAGACAGCAGCAGTTGCTGCATCGCAACTCCGATGATTTCCTCAAGCACTGGGTGCGGAAAAAAACGGCGTGGGAAGCCACACCCTGCTGCACCGACGACAACGAGTGAAATAGCGAGGCAGTTCCACAGGTGGCTGAGGAAGGCAGAATTTATGTATTGCTTCTATCCCATTGTAGTCTTTAATTGCCACAAATGTAATTTCGTAATGACTCGACATTGCAGTGGTGTAAATACCCAGACTTAATAGGTAACACACATTTTTTGTAAATACCGAGACTATATTAGGATGACCATGGTGGTCCCTTCGGTTAAGGGCACACACCGTGAGACACATTTTGTTGGTTTAATTTTTGATGATTTTGTCTAACCAGGCGAGAACTCAATAGACCAGGACGAATTTGCCAGAAGCTGGTTCACCGTAATTACAAAAGCAACAACGTAAAATAGCACAAGTCTCCCTTGTAGACACGAGGAACAATGATGAGCTGCAGTGCTCCGACATTCCTATGGTCGGGACAAATCTACGGTGAGGATGGGCTACGTACGGCATGAAAGAATTTCAACACACGTAGAATTCTATCGATAGGACAACCACTGTCAAACTTTCCCACAAAGCGGTTGCCTCTTTTATCTGCTGAAAAGAGATTATGTGGCTGCGAGTGGCTCGCTCTGCCGCCCAGAGCCACCGGCGCCGGGTCTCCTGACAATGGTCGCGTCACCGACAAGGGGGTTCCACAGCATGCGAGGTGTTGCCCTCCCTCCTCCCCGTCACCCCATTTCCCACCCCCCCCGCGGCCCCCCGTGCTCTCGTGGGTGGCTCACGTCGGGTTGAGTGGAGGCCGGGGGAGAGGAGGGCTGGGCAGGCGGGGCGGGGGCTGCGGGTGGGGGTGGAGAGGGCCGGGAGAAGGCCGGGGGCACGGGGCTGTGCGCCGACGGCGTGGGGCTCTCGCTGCTGCTGCCCCCGCCGCCGCCGTTGGGCAGCACGGGACTCTGCGCTCCGCGGACGCTGCCCTTCGCCTCCAGCAACTCCAAGAAGCTGCGATGGGCACAGTGCCGCACGATTAGCACGGTCGGCGACATACGGTGCGAAAGAAGTTCAACATACAAAATGTGTCGTCAGTCATCCTCATCATCAATCATGGTCAATCCACTGCTAAATGATAGCCTCCCGAAGCACAGTGGGGAGCACAATGTGGTGCACATCTGACCCAGCCATCTTAGTCAATCAATCCATGGCAACTGGATCTGTATCGCGACCTCCTAACAGCAGACCTTCCATGCTTCACGTGGCGTCAAAGTGCACATATCCGGGCACAAATGCCATGGTAATGCCACCGCCACTTAGTGGCAAACAGCGGTTTGTTGTTGTTGTGCAGCTATGTGTGTGTGTGTGTCAGCAACAAATTGTGAGCGGTGGTGGAGCAGTTAGCAAGCTGCGCTACGAACCCGTCGACCCGAGTTCGATTCCTGCTCACGACCAACATCAGTGATAATTATCTGAACCGGTCCTGGTCCTCCCCTTGGTCGACTCAGCCTCAAATGAGTACCTGGTGTGGTGTATAAACATCACAACTGGGGAGACAAAGGCGGCCGGGCTTGGAGCTGCCCACCCACCCTCTCGTGTGCTGTGCCGGCCTTCATAGGTGCTCGCTAACAGTACTTGCCCCTCCAGTCTGCTAAGGCTACACGATGGATCGTTGTTTGCTTTGTGCGTGGCAGCAGCAATCGGCTCACATTTCGTAGTTCTGCTCCTCCGACTGATCGTGCACATACAACTCCTCCATGGTGGCATCCATGTCCAGTTGGTTTGTCTCCAGCTGCCTTAGCAGCGTCTCCCGCTGGGGATACAGGCACACATGCACGTACAATTATTATTATTTATGAAGCTTGTTTATCTAGAAAAGCCTCGCTGAGTCTCAAGGCTCTTTTCATGAGGGTCTTGGCAAGTTTCACAGCTGGGGGGTGATGTTGCTACGTGTAGTGCTAATAGAGTAATTTTCAGGTATTTTTTCAGCATTAGGATGTTTGGTCAATACCAGTAATATTGTCGATTTAAAGCTTTCGTGACTGCAGGGATTCATCTTCTTGGTTCTTTCGGTAAAGTCACGTAGAAGGGAAGTAATAAAATAATAAAAATAAAACATAATAAAATTATTCTCACGACGTTTCGGCCAAAACGCAAGCAGCCGTCCTCAGGTGAAAACCAGGTCCGTCGAGGCGACAGAGTCTGACGGACCTGGTTTTCACCTGAGGACGGCTGCTTGCGTTGTGGCCGAAACGTCGTGAGAATAATTTTATTATGTTTTATTTTTATTATTTTATTACTTCCCTTCTACATGACTTTACCAAAAGAACCAAGAAGGCAGTAATATTGTCTTTTTGTTTTTATAGTTGTGGGAAGATAATGGAGAACACGGAGGAAACCCACGAAGAACAGGTGGATAAACATACAAACCCCGCACTGAAAAGGTGCCAGAGTGGGGAATCGAACCAAGGCCCTTCTTGCTGTTACCGCTGCACTACCACTACCAGTGCCGCCCCAAACACGGCGCCGACAACTTCAAAAGAGCAACCACACATACGCCGCGCGCAGGGTGCACACTCCCTGAGCCACTGAGCGTGCGAGCCACCCCCACGTGTACTCACGACGCTACCCGAGCCTTCTCTACGGGCGGCGGTCGTGGCAGCAGCAGCAGCAGAGTCGCTGGCTCCAGAGCGAGGGCAGCGAGACGTGAGCCTGCCGTGTCTGCCACAGCTCAGTGACTCGCCTGGACCGTGTAACTGCTCTAGCAGTGGCCGGTCGGAGAACCCAAGGCCGCATTTATTATTAACGTTGCCCTCTGTGCCTTGGGCATCACTCGCATTGTCCTAATATCGCCCCCAGTGTTTTCTTACCACGGTCCGTAGCCATGACGATCGCTTGGAGATGCCGCACGCTTTAGCGATGCACTCTGCAGTTTTCATGAAGCTACAACTACAGTACCCTAATTATTTATATATGTACTTGCTGCGTGTAAACCACAGTGCAACGCCACATCGCAGGCAAGACGGTTGTCCATTCCAGCAATGGAAACCTCATAGAGAGATCTCAGTAAAGTGAGGGAGCCTGTAAGGCAAACTACCACTCCTCACTCTGTACAAACATGAATACACACAATCCGGAACGTACACATATAAAGCTTACAGACACATACGTAAAAACACACACACGGCACAACACAGATGCACATACACGCGTACACACGCAAACACAGTGAAACATGGTGTTCTCATGGGCGGCAGGGTGGCACAGTCGATAACACTTGTGACTCGCAGCAAGAAGTACCAGAGTTCCATTCCTGACTCGGGTACCTTTCTGTATGCCATGGTGGCGAGAAGTTCTCCCCATGGTCACATGGATTTTTCTTTGGGTCCTCCGGTTTTTCCGTCCACATTTAGAAACGTGCATTTAAGAGTATTTGGAAGCTATCAATTTCCACATTATAAGCCACTTCATTGCACTATCATTTGTGGTCAATTCACTTCTGAAAAAGAGAAATGTAGCTCAGTGGGCCTTACCTGGTAAAATAAAAATAGTTTAGTTTAGTTTTGAGTTTTGGTATGTTTTCCCCCTGTTCTGTATGGATTTCCTCGAGGTTCTCTGGTTTCCTCCTGCAGCTAAATAAACTATACAATGTAATTGGTGAAACATGCCAATGCTGAAATTTTACCTCCAAATTACTCAATTGGGATTACACGCAGCAGCAATGGGAAAAGTTGGTAGGACCCACCTGAAAAACAGTCTTGAGACTAAAAGTGATGCTTTTCTGGGTGAATAATAACACATCGTGTGACACAACCTTGCAGCCAGAGCGAGACACCGCGGGTTCACATGTATCATTGTCTACTCACTCGGGAGAGGTTCAAGCGAAATACCTTTCCTGGGCATGTTTGTAAAATAGTCATTTCCTTGAGCATTATTCCGCAGGTGAACTGGAATTCTCGTTTAAAAAAACCCTGATGAAAGAGCAGGCTTTAGCCTTTCTGGCAAGAATACAGGTGTTAAGATATTCAAACACCAAATAGACACCTATTACAAGGCCAACTAGTTTGTATTAAGCCTGCGGCTGCCCCGCAGGCTTATTACACTTGTTTACCCAGGAGGGTCATGGTAAGTTTTCATAGCAAGGGGTTGACGATTGCTTTGTGTTTCAGAATCGAGTCAATTTGCGAGTCATTTTTAAAACACGGCTGGTCTGGACCGTAACGCCGTCACATAGTGGCCTACTTTTGTGAATGACTTCACGGGATGTTTAATGGCCACCATCGGCACGTGATGTTTTACGGCCAATACAGCCACAGCGTGAACAGATCCAGCAGCCTGCCGAATGGGAACGGCGAACCAGGCAAGCGGCATGCCGGATTGGAACAGCGAACCAGGCCGACGATCTACCGGATTGGAACAACGGACCAGGCCAGCGATCTACCGGATTGGAACAGGGAACCAGGCCAGCGACCTACCGGATTGGAACAGGAAACCTAATCCGGTAACCTACCGAATTTGAACAGGGAACCAGGCCAGTGACTTACCGGATTGAACAGCGAACCAGGCCGAAGGCTTGAAAGATTGGAACAGTAAACCAGGAAGAAAGCGTTCCAAATTGGAACAGCAAACCAGGCCAAAGGCATGCCAGCTTGAAACAGCGAACCAGGCCGGTGGCCTGCCGACTTGGAACAGCAAACCAGGCCGGTGGCCGGAATGCCTCGACCGGGACCCTAACCTGCAGCTGCAGGAAGGGGATGTTAAAGAACTTGTGCAGGAACTTGAGCCCAAAGCCGTTCTTCATGGAGGATTCCCCGTAGTTTACGTAGGAGGCACCCGGGGGCCTGGGGAAGACATGGGGGGGAAGACATGGGGGGGAAGACATGGGGGGGAAGACATGGGGGGGGAAGACATTGGGGGGAAGAGGGAGAGAGCAGCGGCATAAGCGAGGTAATTGGTGAGCCATGTGCGTAAGCGAAGTGAGCAAGGTGAGTGAGGTGGGCGAGGTGAGCGGTGAGTCATGTGCGTGAACAAGATGAGCGAGGTGAGCGGTATGCTGTGTGCATGACGAGCTGAGCAAGGTGACCGAGGTGAGCGTGGTGAGCGCAGTGAACCGTGTGCGTGAACAAGTCGGTGAGCCGTGTCAGTGAGGTGACTGGTGAGCCATGGGAGTGGGCAAGGTGAGTGGTAAGCCATTTGAGTGGGCGAGGTGAGTGGTGAGCCATGCGAGTGAGTGAGCGAGGTTGGCGAGGTGAGTCAAGTGAGGAGCGAGGCGAGAAAGGTGAGGAGCAATCAGTGGCCGCTCACCGGTCGAGGCCCTCAAAGAGGCTGCGCACGTCGTCGGGCAGCACGACACGGTGCTCCCCCATGTCGCGGTGGTTCCCAAGCACAATCACCGGTACGTGCAATGGCACGCGGCACAGTTCCCGCTCCACGTAGCTGTAGGTCCTGCACCGCCCCACGGCCACTGCATCACGCAACTCACGTACTCGCCAAACCCCACTCGCTCACTCCACGGCATTAACTCGCACCACAGAGGTCGCACGGCCACGCGCACCATGACGACTTGTTCACTCGCCCACTTGCTCACAAAACAACTACGAAGCTCTGACCAAGCAGGAGCTGGACGCCATCATCGAGGAAGTGGAAGAGGACGGTACATGAGGGCCCTCGAGGGCCACATGAGGGCCACACGCCGGCCACACGACGCCTCTGGTTTTTCCAAGAGGCGGGGCAATCGGACCAAGAGAGCCACACAATGGTGCAACAGCAGCTTATTGCATGGTTAAACTAAACTATTTTTGATACCAGGTAAAGCCTACTAAGGTGTATAGCTCTTTTTCAGAAGTGACCTGGCTATCACAAATGATAGACACGCAAACTCTAAATATACAGCAGGCGTCAGGGTCGGGATCAAACCGACAACCTCCTGTATACCAGGCGAGGTACTTACCATCTCGCCACTCGGACCACGGCATTAACTGACCCCACCACAATCGCAAACACCACACAACTCACTCACTCACACCCACAACACACGCACTCACAACACGACACTCACTCACACATACTACGGAACTCACTCATTCACACCACGACATACCCACACACCAACGCACCCACACCAACGCACCCACACACCACAACACACCCACACATCTATGCACCCACGCACCCGCTCACACCACAACACATTCACACACCCACGCACCCGCACACCACAGCACTTTGTCACCCGTCTTGCCGACACTCAAACACCCCAAATGCTGACAATCCAGTCCCCCGAGGCGGATGAACTGTTACCACCTTCTCGCTATTCATTCCTAAACCACCTCGACAGCCCATGTGGCAGCACACGTGCGCTTGCCAGCAGGCAAGGCAGTTCAAGGCAGTTCACTGTGACACGGTGTGCACCGCGACCCTATCGTCAGGTTAGTAGTGCTCCACTGCTAAAACACGCGCAACATATTTGACAGAAAAAATATCAACTCGTGTCCATAAGCTCCATCGTGTACTCACCAGGAGAGAGCACAGCTCTATAATAAGATGCGTGTGTCTTGGTGTAGCAGTTAGCGCGCTGCACTACGAACCCGGCGATCCAGGTTCGAGTCCCGCTCGCGGCCAACAACCAGTGACAATTATTTGAACCAGTCCCGGGCCTCCCCTTGGTCGACTCATCTTCAAATGATTACCTGGTCCGGTGTGTAAGCATCACCACTGGGGAGACAAAGGCGGCCAGGCATGGTGTTGGCCACCCACCCCCTCGTGTGCTGTGCCAGACTATATCGATGCACGCCAACAGCACTTGCCCCAACAGTCTGTTTAGGCTATACGGGGGATCTTTGTCTTTTTTACCGTATTAGGCATTTTAATTTGGTCGTGCCAACTCTTGCTGCTATTTGGGGGTTTGAATCCTCAACAGCGCTGTCGGGGTTGCACACCAGCACGAGCGACGGCCCGTGCTGGCACGACGGAAGGAACGAAACGCGCTCGCTTACCACTGCTTGGTGATGTCGAACATCATGATGACGCCATGGCAGTTCTTGTAAACATCAATGCACTCGGCGTCCAGCGCGAGCTCATCCTGCAGGAACACGCGCGCATCGTCAGCGATCCCTTCTCTGCTAGAGCTCGATAGCCGGCGGTTAGTTACCTCCAAGTCACTCTTCTATCGCTACTACCATGGTTGATATTCCCGTGAACTTCGACTTTAATTGATTCCTCCACCCGTGTTGAGGAATTCAGTCGACCGAACTATTTCATCTCATCTATGGTTTGTTCAGACACCACACTGCGGGTCACAACAACACACTAACCCAATCACCAACTCACTCACACACCCACCCACTCATTCAGCCACCACACTGCAGGTCATAACACTTCTCTCGATGCTTCAACCACTTCGACTCACCGTCAACATTCCATCAAGTTTCCAAAGCCTTCAGAGCCTGACTCACTAGTCAAAATATTATATCGTCATTGCCACAGACGCTCCTGCAGGATAGTCATCTCCCTGATGCCACTCATCACCCGTACAAACAGAGCGGTTTTATCGTTACTTGTGGAGCCACCCATGCTGGCCGCTCGTTCGTTCTTGTTGAAACTACAGCAGCCGACGTTAAACAATCAGCCCACTTCGAATAAAGGCCCCGAGATATCGCTGGCGTAACTTCAACGTTGACAGTTTCGTGTCCGACCCTTGAACGGTCTGCATTTTTACAAAAACCCTCCCGCCGTAGTGACTGCTCTTTCCACCTGCTATTTGTTGTCCTTATCCTGCACCTCCGATTAGCACGGTTGGCTACGTACGGTGCGAAAGAAGTTCAACGTAAGTACACGCATGTATTCATGAGCACGAAGATCAGCGCCGTGGTTACGACCAAGGCTGTCGCCATGTGAAAGCAACGACACGTCGGCTGGGGCGGATCTATCGTCAGTGTAAAACTCCGGCCACTCTTTGACAGCGTGGCGGGGATCACTTTCAGCCACAGCGAACAAACTCCTACCAGACCATCACGATCAACTCCTGGCAAAATAGTTCCAACTTGTTCTGGTCAAAGCTGAGAGTGCGACTACAGCCAACTGTATATACGTGTATACGTTGAACTTCTTTTGCACCGTATGTAACCAACCATGCTAATCGGAAGTACGGAAGAAGGACAACACCTTGCATAGCTGCCACATCAAGCTTACTGCCAAAGATCGATGAAATCTGCCAAAGTTCTTGAGGACAATGATCGATGAGATTCATTTAGCTGCCGTCAACACATCGGCCCCTGGATTAATCCCTTGACCAGTCAATAGCCTTACAAATGTCAGAGACGTAACAAATGACGAGGTCATTCATATTATGAACAAGTTCTCATTCTAATGATGTTCACTACATGCTGTGCCAACTCAGTTAATAAAGGCCACTGTCTCAACAGTTAGCACCAACAATCACAAGAATACGCAATGCACAATTTCACGAGGGTTTGTTCCCAGCCAACCACAAACATGCAACTGTACAGCTAGTCTTTAAAAAGACTGACGATCTCAGTTCCTAACAGCCAATCTCAAACCAATCTGCCTACCTGTAAGATCATTTTAACCGGGACACCCGCGGTGACCGCCCTCAACAATTTTCTGCGAGCCGTAGACACTCTGGTCATGCCACTGTCCAAGTGCTACTGGTTTTAAGTTCGGCTTTTGATACGGTGGATCACAAGACTCTCCTTAAGACCCTTGAGAGGCGTCTCGATTTCTGGGATAGGGCGCTGGATTGGCACGCGTCGTATTTATCTGATCGCTCACAAACATTCCACTTTAGATTACAGTGCTCACCGACTTATTAAGCGGACTGTGGTGTCCCACAGGGTTCTGTTAGTGGTCCACAATTCTTTATAGCCTATGCGGAAGCTCCTGCTAACAACATCGGTGCGTTCCATATAAATTACCAATTATATTCTGACAACACACAAGTGTATCTGCATCCTAACTTAACCGGTATCCATCATAATAGTGCCAACAAGACCTATGGCTCTTGTCAACATTCAACAGTGTGTCACAGAAATCAACAGCTGGTGTGCATCATGGCGACTTCAAGTGAACCCAACAAAGCTGAAAGCAAATGGTTCAACAGCCAAACCAACCTACGGAAGATTAGCAGCCATGACGACTGAGACCGTGCGCTCACCCGTTTACCCATAATCCACAATCGTTCCATTATGGTGTGTACGGAACGCTGCAGCCCGGCTGCTTATGGGACCACTCGCCTTCCATGACCGCGTCACATCTGCTCGTCGAGAGTTGGCTCCCAGTGCAATTCCGGATAGTGTATGAACTGTGCCAATTAATACACATTGCCAATATACAGTAGACTCTCTATTATCAGTGTGTGGTTTATCCTATTTTGGGATTAACCAAGTGCACCTGAAATTGACATAAATTAATAACTCATGGATTTTCCCTGAAGCCCAAATTAAAATATAAAAACAGTTATACATTATTCTTGGAAATGTTTATAAGTCACGTGCTTAATTCAACCAAATATGTTGCTTTAGTTAATGTGAAAACCGTTGTGATCGCCTCTACAGTACAGTAGTTGCATATCTTTGCAAGTGCCTTGAGTTCGATTGATGTTGATTGGCGTGGCTCTGCTGCTGTCCACTTAGTGGGCCGAGTCTTCTGCGCGGTAGCAGCAAAGTGTTATCACTGAGCACGCACATCGATCAGTCGATCGTTAGTCTTGGTTCTAAATTAAAAGCGTATCAAAATCATCAGTTGTGCTTCAAAAGCCATTAATTTACATCCGAGTGGATTTTGGCATAGAGATCCGCTAATAAAATTATATTTTTGGATTTTCCGCAATTTTGAATCATCTGCGGCCGTCCTCCCCATCATTAGCATGGATTAATCGAATCTATTGTGTGCATAAAAACAAATGTCCAGTCTGTTTGTTCAAACCCTCACAACCACAGCAAACCTCATTGATCGGCTGATGTTCGCTCTGCAGTCAGCTCCGACTATGTCGTCCTGCGTGTAAGCAAAACGTTTGAGGAGCGCCGTCGCATTCTCGTTCGCTGACCCTAAGGCATGGAACTCACTCACCAGAAAACTGCGTGCCGAAAAAAAAGTAAATATCCTTCGGGCACTTTTTAAAATGTTTTTTTATCAAGCTGGCTTTTAATTCTAAAACTCAGAATTGATAATGCAATGTGCCGCTCGTCAATATTGTAAGCAGGGCAATAGCGGTCACCATTGTATTTCTTATTTCTTCCCTTACACTCCTCCCATCATTCACTTTCCAAAGCTTTTATAATAAGTCCATTAGCTGGTTACCTCTGACAGCTCTGTTTGTGCGTGTTTGTTGCTGGGCCATTTGACTTCTTGGGCCTTTGGACCGATGCATATATAATGAGAGTGCTCTGTTGTGTTTCCCTTCCTTAGCCTGGACGGCTAAAATTTATTACACAAGGAGGGGGTGATGTAATGAGAGCGCCATCGCCTGGATTATAAGGGGGGCATACATAATAATTATACAGTCTATGCTTATCCATAGTTGGGTTTACATCTAGGGGAAAGGTGAGAGGCGGTTCCACCAGGGAAGCCTCTGGAACGTTCGGGAAGGTTCCAGGAGGGGTGTGGCCAGAGGCGGGGCTTAGTCCCAGGGTAGGGGGATATAAGCGGGACACAGAGCAACGTAAGGGGTCGGTGTTGAAGACTGAAGAGGAGCCCCGCCGCTGCTGCCCCGCCATCTCCATCAACCAAGTGGCGGCTCGTCCTCCAGCCGCCCAGCCGCTCCCTGGAGCACCGTCAGCCAGCGGTGCGTTGGAGAGCGGTGACAGGTTCATTTCATCGGGACGGATTGCTGCATGATACACACCCGGGCACTGTTGGTAATAGCTGGCCGGTTTCACAGACGCAATGAAGGAAGTTGGCTCGTAGAGTAGTTGCCGCGGCGGCGGGATCGTCGACGGTCGCGGCCATTATTCAGGATGTTGATGTTCACATCCTGGTTGATACGGGGGCCTCGGCTACGATTGTCTCCGATGTCATTTTCCAGTTGTTGAATATTCTGGCGTCGTGTGTTCGGCCGGTGTACGATGTGTGTGTTGCGGCTAACGGGGGGAGTATGGCCATCATTGGCCAGGTTGACGCATTGGGGAAGTTCACGCATCGGGGCCTGTGTTGATTTCGCGCACGTTGGCCGTGCCTTGCCTGTTGGGCACTGATTTTTTTGTCTCCGATGCCGGTTAAGATCCTTGTCAACCAAGGTTGTATTGAGCTGCCGTCGGGTCGTACATTGCGGTTTTTGTCATCGCCGTTGCCACAACCGGCGTCCGCCGATACGGATCAGGCGTTGGTTGATACCACCGTCCTTATTCCGTCGGGTTCGCAAGTGTTTATTCCACTCCGTTATCGCAAGCACATAGGTTGCGTTGTCGCGGAAAACGGTGTTTTGTTGACGCCCTTGAACGCTGCTACGCGAGGGATGACATTGGTATGCGCTCAGACCATCCTTAGAGCGGGCCAGGCCCCGTTTTTGCAGGTTTTGCACGGGGGGCCGGGCAACGTTGTCGTGCCTGCGGGCACTGCCTTCACTCACGCTACCACCGCATTTACCAACCGGGTAGAGCGCACGTCAGTGCAGGCTGCCTGTTCTGTTGGGCAGAAATGCTCAGTGGACGATCGGTGGATTGCCAACCTGTGTGCCAAAAACGCCTCGTTGTCACCGGCTCAGCGTGAGGAATTGCGCCTTGTGTTTTCCGAATTTTCTGATGTATTCAGCAAGGACGATTACGACTTGGGTCGTAATCGTCCTTGGGTCGTAATTGTCCTTGTTGTCTCATCATATAGATGGGCGATGCTGCCCCCATTCGGTTGAATCTGCATCGTATGGGGCCGTCAGAGAAAGAAAGTGTGCGCCGCGCCGTGGACGACATGTTGGCTGCAGACATTTTTTCGCTGTCCACCAATTGATGGGGCGCTCCAGTTGTTTTGGTTAAGAAGAAGGATGGTAATCTACGATTTTGTGTGGAATTTCGATGCCTTAATAAGGTTTCCGTGGAGGACGCATATGCCCTGCCTCGCATGGATGATTCGTTGGATGCGTTGGCCGGAGCGCGGTTTTTCTCTACACTTGATTTGTCTTCTGGGTTCTGGCAACTGCCCTTCGATGAGTCTTCGAGGCAGAAGACCACGTTCCACACTCCCCAAGGTATTTTTCAATTTAATTGTTTGCCGATGAGATTGAATGCCACTCCTGCCACATTTCAACGACTTATGGAACTTGTCTTGGCTGGTCTCCAATGTGACACTTGCCTTATCTATTTGGACGATCTCATTGTGTTCAGCTGATCGTTTGAGGACCAACTCCTCCGGCTGTGCGCCGTTTTTGCGCGGATGCGCTAGGCAAATCTTAAATTCAAACCAAAAAAAAGTTATTTTCACTGCGGTATTTGGGTCACATTGTGAGTGCCAATGGTATCTGGACCGATCCCACTAAGACGACTTGTGTACGTGATTTGCCAGTTCCTGCGAGTGTGGGAGATATCCGAAGCTTTGTCGGCTTCGCCTCCTATTATCGCCGGTGCATTCCGGGGTTCGCGTCTATCGCGAAGCTATTGGATGCGCTTACGGGTAAAAATCAGCAGTTCCATTGGAGCCCGGAGGAGGAGACTGCTTTTAATACCCTTCGTGATCGCTTATCGGACGCGCCTAATCTCGACTATCTTGATTTTTCATCCCCCTTCATCCTTGACATGGATGCCAGCGATATGGGGATCAGGGCCGTCCTGTCACAGGTGAAGGGGGGTGTTGAGCGCATCATGGCGTACGGTAGTTGGGTGCTTTCGCCGGCAAAATCCCGATATTGTGTCACTCGTCGGGAGTTGCTGGCGATTGTTTATTTCGTATGACTTTTCCAGCGCTATTTATATGGCAGGCGATTTGTCATACGCACTGATCACGAGGCCCTCCAATACTCGTTGAAGATCGAGCAGCCGGGTGGTCAGTTGGCTCGCTGGTTGGAGTGTTTGCAGGAATATGTTTGATGTCACCTAACGGAAAGGGGACTCGGCACGCTAATGCGGACGCTCTGTCGCGATGCCGCTTGCATCTCGATGTGCATTCCGATCCGGGATAAACCGCTGCACTCCCCCCGGCATGTCTCGTCCTATGGCTGCATCCAATGTTGAGACGGATTCGGGCGATGCGGTGGTTCCGTCCGCCGAGACAGTATGTTGGGGCTTTCGCGTTCAGTGTGGATGCGAGAACTCTCGGATGATTTGTTGACCTCCTTGCGGGATCGGGCGGCATGAGTTGTGGGTGATTCAGAATCCATCAAGGACGGTCGTGTTTTTGTTCATGACGGCTTATTGATGTGGCAGGATGCATGCCGGTTCGGCTATGATTGGTTGTTCCTACTTCCCTCCGTGCAGGGCTGATCCGCACCTTGCATTGTGAACGACTCTTCCATCTCGGCGTTCAGAAAAATTTGCTTACCCTTCAGAGGGATTATTATTGGCCAGGCATGACGTTCAATGTAACCGGGGCGCTTCGGTCGTGCACCAAGTGTGCACGACGGAAGTCACCCCGGCAACGTTATGTTCCGCCCTTGCAATCGATTTCCGTCACTCGGGTCAACGAATTGGTCGCGTTAGATGTGTCATTCCCACGCCTGGTGGGAATAAATATCTCGTCGGAGTCCAATATTTCTCCCGTTGGCCTGTGGCGTGGCCCCTGCCAGATCAATCTGCCTTGTCCATTGTTGATGCCTTTGTGAACGGCGATGTCATGGATAAGGGGGCGCCGGAAAAGTTGCTCACCGATCAGGGTAGAAATTTTACGTCTAAACTGTTGCGGGAGGTGTGTGCTGCTTTGGATACCAGGAAAATGTTTACGTCTCCCTACCACCCTCAGACCGATGGTATAGTGGAACGGTTGAATCGCACCTTGTCCGCTATGTTGTGCCAGATGGTCGATGAATGACAGGCCGCCTGGGATCTTCAGATACCCAGCGTTCTCTCTGCCTATCAGATGGCGCCTCACGCTTCTACGGGATACTCGCCATTTTTCCTAATGTATGGGAGGGAAAACACGCCGCCGTTGGATGTCCAGTTGGGCTCCCCAATTGTACCTCGTAAATCAACTCTTCCCGATTATATTGAACAGTCCCTACGGTGGGTTTCGGAAGCACGTGAAGCTGCCAGGGTAAATACCTCCAAAACTCAGGCTCGGAATGAACGTTGCGCACGCCGGTCGAAAGAGGACATGCCATGGTCGGTTGGGGATGCAGCATGGCTTCATTGCCCACAGGTGCCGCTTGGCACCTCTGCTGAACTTAACAGGCCATGGCAGGGCCCTGTGACGATTTTGGAGGTTTTGCGCCCTCAGTGTGTTCGTGTTCGTCATGGCTGCTGGTGTTGGTTTATTCACCCGTCGTGGTTGAAACCGTTTATTGCTCTTGTGCCGCCATCGTCATCTCCAAATCCCGGAATCCTGGTGCCTGACGTGGCCAACAGACCTGTCATCCCTGTCAAGGGTGATCTTCCGCAGCCTGTTTCTTTGCCGTCCACAGCGCCCCTGAAGGTAATGGCGGACCCGGTGGACGTCGCCATTTCCCCGTGCCCATATGCGGGGGATCTGGCCGGACCGCCCATTGTTGGACCACTACCTCCACTAGCCGGTGTTCCTGTTTCGCCACTGACGGATGGACCGGCTATGCGGACACGCTCAAAATCGTCACGATTTTCTTAAGCGGTTTCAAATTCGGGTTGCGTGTTTTTCCGCTGTGTTGTTGTTGCGTTGGGGGGGTCCAACATTCCGTTATAATTCTCTCTTCGAGTTGTGTTCTGTTCATGGGGCTAATGGTGCTCTGTTGTGTTGCCCTTCCTTAGCCGGGACGGCTAAAAAAATTACACAGGGAGGGGGGGGGGGGATGATGTAATGAGAGCGCCATCGCCTGGATTATCAGGGGGGGCATACATAATAAGTATACAGTCCATGCTTATCCATAGTGGGGTTTACATCTAGGGGAAAGGTGAGAGGCAGTTCCACCAGGGAAGCCTCTGGAACGTTCGAAGAGGTTCCAGGAGGGGTGTGACCCAAATACCGCAGTGAAGATAACTTTTTTTTGGTTTGAATTTAAGATTTGCCTAACGCATCCGCGCAAAAACGGCGCACAGCCGGAGGAGTTGGTCCTCAAACGACCAGCTGAACACGATGGGTGTGGCCAGAGACGGCGCTTAGTCCCGGGGTAGGGGGATATAAGCGGGACACAGAGCAACGCAAGGGGTCGGTGTTGAAGATTGAAGAGGAGCCCCGCACTGCTGCCCCGCCATCTCCATCAACCACGTGGCGGCCGCCCAGCCACTCCCTAGCGCACCGTCAGCCAGCGGTGCGTTGGAGAGCGGGCGAGCGCCACGTGGCATGGGGCAACGTAGACACACGAAGAGTGGATATCCGCGGAGCAGAGACGGAGACACGTGGTTGTACCGAGCTTTATTGAATAAACAAACCAAAGTTACTTACCGTGTCGGAGATCACTCCTTGCACATATATCACTGCGAATCCTACACCTTCACCACACGACGGCTCAGACAAGGAAGCCGCCAACAGCAGGTCTTACACAGCCGTTACAGAGACAACATGAGCTAGAGAACCAGTGCGAGGCTCATCGATACGCGTCCACAGGAGCAGAGGGTCCGTTCTGAAAGGGCCACTGTAAGCGATGGTATTTAGCACGTTTCGCCGCTGCAAGGCGGCGAGTGTTTCCTCGCGGCAATTTGGCCTGGGGATGACCAGCGGCAACTTATCACGAGGGCGCCTTGCCTGAGCAAAGTAAATCATCTATATTGAAACCAAATATATTTAGAACTGCTTTGTGTATTTTGTTTGTTGTGCTTCCCCCGCACTTCTGATTAGCACGGTTGGCTATGTAGGTGCGAAAAAAGTTCAACAAAACCACATATATTGAACCAAACACCACAGACACTTTCAGTATTGACACGCCCCGTTAACGGCAGTGAGAGCGGAAGTACCGGGGTGCAGCCCTCCTTACCTCCTGGGGCTCGTTTTCCAGCTTCAGGGAATCCCCTTTCTTCCTGCTCCTCCCTGCCATGCACAACACGCAACACAGCGTCACGCACCGTGGTGCTCACCCCAACACCGCGTCACGCACCGCGGTACTCACCCCAAGCAGCACAGCATCTCGCACAGGTTTACAGTAAAAGCGCAGATGGGTTCGCACGTGGATGCGAGTAAACAACTCAATTACAATGTTACCAGTTTTTGCTTGCAACTAATTCACACCTGAATTCGTATGGTTTAAATTACGAATGCACGCATGCACATTGAACTTCTTTCGCACTGTATATAGCCAACCTTGCTAATCGGAGGGGCGGAAAAAGGACAAAACACGCATGTATACAGCGCCCACGAAGGTTGGGAGGGTAAAGTTTGCAACCCTGCAAAGATTATTTTGTTGAACTCGATTATAAACCAAGAGACCAGGGGTGGAGTCTTGCTGACCAAAACAACAACGGCAACAGCGTTAAAACAAAGTAGGCGCACTAAAAGCTCGGACTTGCCGAGACTTCCTCTGAAGACAAAGCGTCATCCTGAGCGTCACAGTGAGGGATGAACAAAGAGGTAGAGCGGTGAGATGCTACAGCCAGCAGAAAACAAGGGGCAGGCGACTTGAACAAATAGAAGGGCAGGCCACATAAACAAATAGAAGGACAGGAGACATAGACAAAGAGAAGAGCAGGCAACATCAAAAAAGAGAACAATTTTTTAAAAAAGGCAATCAGTCGAAAGCGAGAATAAGAAACGGAACCAATAAGGGAGGCAAAAGAATGATGGACATGCGCAGAGATCGGTGACAAGTTCAAAACCCGCGGGCAAGAAAGCAACGTCGTAATGTTCAAACCAACAAAAGGGTCTCGTGTTTGGTGCTTTGTGCCGCAGCAGCTACATCAGTGCAAATTCCCCAAAAGGTAGCACTGTTTTCACCTTCGCAACGCTGGTTCTTAGGATTCAGCGTCAGCACCGGCATAAGGGATGACATTCCATACAGGCAGCATCGTCCTTTCCTCTAAACATCTGGCAATTCGCGAATACTGGTTCAAGCAACTACCGCTGATCAGACACTGAATGTCGAAACCGGTCAAGGGTATCGAGTTGTCATCATGGCCAAAGCCATGATGCCGCCGTACCTCACTACTAACGCTCTCTACCCTCCGCCAGATCCCGCAGCTGCAGCACAGGAAACGCGTAGTGACATGCAACGTGTGCCCTGACCAGTGTCCCACCATCTTCTCTTTTTTATTTTAATAAATAACAATAATAAACTATGTTTTATTTTACCAGGTAAGGCCCACTGAGTTATGTAGCTCTTTTTCAGAAGCAACCTGGCCACAAATGATAGCTCAGCAAAGTGGCTTATCGCGTAGAAATATATAACAGCCAAATATTCTAAACAAGTGTGACGTTGATTCTAAATGTGGAGGGAAAAAACCGGAGGACTTGGAGAAAAAAACACACGACCATGGGGAGACACGCAAACTCCAAATAGGCGAGGGAAATAACATCTCGCCACCATCGCCTGATTCATGACAACCACTTCAATGCCTGTCTCGGCAATCGGCCTTTATCCATCAAGCACTGATCCCACCCAACATAACTGGTTGTGCATAACTATATCTACAACACTCACATGACACGCTATCTTCTAGGCTTCTGCATTGCATATCCTGTCATGCGACAGAATTCACAACATTCACCTCGACACAGCTGGCCTCAAATGTCAACAACTTATTGGCTCGAGCTGCCGAGTCAGCGTCCAGCTCTGTGATCTACACAGTAATACAGATGGCATGCCTGCCTCCAATAACCTTCTCTTTACGATCAGACTTACCACAGTTTTATCTGTGGGACCCTTTGCCAGCATCAAAATGATGAAAACATAACAATAGGCTTTACCCTTTCTGGCAATAAAAAAGGTATTAAGATGTTCAAACGCGAAATAGATACCTATTGCAAGGCATCATTATTTTTACGAGTTTGTTCGAGTTAAACCAATGCTTCTCAAAAAAAACGTTCACCCTCAGAAGGCAGTGTGGCTAATGGGATGTACATACCATCACGACCTATACGATCTGCTAATTTACATCTGCTCCATGTGCCGACTCTGTACCTGGGGTGACCGAGCCTTTGCATGCACTGCGCCAAGACTACGGAACGCCCTGCCACCTGTGGTCAGACAGGCGAGGTCGCACACTTTGATGCGGTCTTCTCTAAAGACTCACCTGTTTCACCTGGCCTACACTTCCCATGTATGACCAGTGGACTCTGGATTCACTATTTATATTTCACTATTTATATTTCCCAACTTTGTGCATGGCGCACTGAGGTCCTTGGATGAATTGTGCCTTATAAATGTCAATTATTATTATACAAATATTTTACATTTGTTTGTGGAGACACAGATAAGGCAAGGTGTATCGTATGCTCATATATTGTTGTAAATATGTGGTAAGAGGTAAGTACATATTGCTTTGTCTGCCACTTGCCTTTATCAACGACATCCCAAACCTCCACCTTGACGACATCGTCCGTAGCTGCGCAAAAGGAAACAAGTAGAAGCGTTAAACATAATGATGGGGACATGGGTGCATAATGTTCCGTAACGTTTTATTCATAATGAAGAAGCTCATAGATACAAATATTTACATCCACCATGCAGACTGAAAAAATATAATGAAATAATCTCATTGATGTAGTGCAGGGGTGGAGAACGTCCGGCCCGCGGGTCGTATAAGGCCCGCAAAATAATTTGGTCTGGCCCTGCCAAGGCAACTGCAGGCGGGACTCGAAATTCATTAAATCTAGGAGCAAACCTGGAAAAGCAGTTGCAAGTAGCAACATCATCAATACCAGCTAACATCACACACCTCACCAAAGAGAAGCAGTTCCAGCCATCACATTAGGAGTGAGTTAATTAAATGTTTGATCAAATATAACAGCCTAATTTTTAAGTTGATAATTTTGCATGGCCCGCGAATGATGTTATAAATATCCAAATAGGCCTTGACAGAAAAAAGGTTCCCCACCCCTGATGTAGTGTATGCATGTTGAACATCTTTCGCACAGTAGGTAACCAACCGTCCTAATCGGAGGTGAGGGGAAAAGACAGCAAGCCAAATATTTAAAAAAACTGTTCCAAAGAAATTAGTTGTCAAACTAGATGATGTTCTATGCTTCTTTCAGTAAAGTCACTTTACCAAAAGAACCATAGCATATGAATTCCTGCAGTCACGAAAGTTAAGTCAAAGTTTAAACCAGATGATTTAAAAGTGCATAGCTCCAGTGGCTTCCTAATATCGGAAGAGCATTCCAGACGGCCGCATGGATGTACAGTTGATCGTGAGACAGAAACTAAATCTGCTGCCGTTTCATTGAAAAAAACACACAAGACAGGCGGTACGACGATCCACATTTACGGCATTTATACAATGCCACCAATGGATCAATTTACGAAGCAGAAACTTGATTAAAGAAGCATCTTCCGACGCGACTGAGAACAAATTCGAACAGTCGGTCTGGTTTTCCGACGTGACTTGACGTGGAGCTTTTGTTATCTGCACGCATGTACGTTGAACTTCTTTTGCACTTTACGTAGGCAACTGTGTTTTTGTGGCTTTTTACCGACTAAACCCTGTTAAATGTGACTGATAAAAGGAAAAGCACATCGGCAAGTCATTCTTCTGCTGTTTCAACTGTCAACGATCCCATTTATGACGGGGTTTCCAGGAAGCAGGGACCACCTGGAATTCTACACATTTCAAGAAGTAGTGCAATCATCACTCGAGAAGTGGAATGCCAGCCGAAACGTTCATGGCATGAACATGATGCAGCGCCGTATCGATCGGCCTGGCAGGTGACGTCCCAGCCGTCCGGCGAGGCTCTGTGTACAGAACACTGCCCCACCATCCATAAAAGGTTTTTTTGCTTAGTTCGCGTAAATATGTCGTTAAACCCGTCGCCACCCGATACAGACAATTAGTCAAATTTGTCACATAAACAAGACGTGCCAATTCGTTACTAGTTCAGCACACTGGTGTGTTGGAGAGTAAACCCACAACATTTACAATTCGAGCACCTGTGACGTTTCGCCGGTAATTACAACCAGCATCGTCAGGCGACAGCCAGAGTTGGTCGCGAAAGCCTACGCGTTAAACTGACTGCCCAAATAACCATTTTGGTTCTTTATTTAACATTTATTTATCTCGGAACGGCCTCAATGAATATCAAATCTTTTTCAGGATGGTTCCGCTAAGTTTTCACAGGAGGGGGCAATGTTGCCGCTCCAGACCTGTCGGCCTGGAGGGGTAATCGTGGGTATGGGCCAGTTACATAATGACTAACGAAAAGGGAGCGTATCTGGAGTAAAGGTGAAAGGCGGAGTCATTCGGAAAGCTCTGGGAACCTGCTCGATGGTTCTGGAAGGGGGTGTGGCCGGAGGCGGGGCTTGGCCACGCTGGGAGGGATATAAGGGGGATGGAACAAGAGGTTCAGGGCTGTTGCGGCTCCTGGGTCCTGGCTGCGTCGCTGCTCGCCATCATCTCTCTTCGTCGTCCGGCCGCGTGGCTGATCCTCTGCACGGCTCTCATCCTCGTCGTCGCTACGCTAGTCAGACAGCTGTGTCATTAGACGCCGATGATGGGGTTGTGTAAAAGGGTCGGCTATGTGTAGCCATGTAGATACGTTCTGTATAACGCCCAGTATTGTGCCCAGTGTGAGAATAAATAAGAAGCTCTCTACACGACATGTCTCGGAAGTCGCTCACTACACAGGTATGCCTCCATACATAATCAAAGTTTTTTTTTTTTAAACCTTCATTTTGGATAATCTTGATCGGGAAAGCCTAAATATGTTAAAATGGTATCCCTCAATTTACCAATGTTCAGTTTTATGCAACTTCGCGTTTATCGACAAATGATGGACACTTTTCGATCAATTAATTTTCTCTCCGGCCATGTGCGCCATGAGATCATCAAACGAGAAGCCACCCAGGAGGCTGGGTAGTCATCAACCCGCGACAGCGTCACGGTGTCCCTGCAGTGGCAACAATGATGCCTCCACATCGCCTCGCCAGTCATTCCCACACAGTTTGCTACGTACGGTGCAAAAGAAGCTCAATATACATACATTTATTTCAACATGCAGATCTTTTGGTAAGACACTGCCTTACCAACACTTACTTTACTGGGAATGGTACATTCTACAAACAAAATGAGGGTACCCCAATGGGTTCTCCCTTATCGCCAGTGGTAGCGAATGTTTTCATGGAGAAATTTGAGACAGATGCCATCCAGACATCCACCCTACGTCCTTCCTTGTGGAAGAGATACGTAGATGACACGTTCGTCATCTGGCCACATGGCCTGCCAGCACTGAACCAATTTCTCAACCACATCAATTCCATACACCCATCTATCAAATTCACCATGGAAGTGGAAAAGGATGGCAAGCTACCATTCCTGGATATTTTGATCGAGAAGAGACCTGATGGCTCGTTAGGATACTCTGTCTACAGGAATGCCACCCACAAGGATGCCTATCTAAAGCCTGACTCCCACCACCATCCAGTCCAGAAGAATTCCCTCATCAAAACTCACCATAGGGCTCATTGCATCTCTGACCGGCATCACTTAGCCAGTGAGCTGGAGCACGTACACCAAGCCCTCAGGATGAACTCTGCAGACCCATCGCCTATTACACTGGTCAACACACTTTTTCTGGCATAAGGTATTCCAACGGTTTTAATGTAATCTATCACATCAGGTTTTTGAGATATCAAATATTGCATTTTCAATAAAAACTTGCAGAAGAAAAATATTAAATAAATGTGGATATCTACATAAAATGATATTATAAACACACTATCCTAAAAATACAGCACCATATTTTAACACTAAAGCAGTCACTGACTCGCAACAACTTGCAATCATAAGTGACAGAGTTAATTTCGGGTAAAATCAATGAAAATGGGGTATGCCGATAGCATAAAATGAGATGTGATGGAGCAAATCTGAGATCAGATTTGGAATCAGCACCCTGAAATTAGTCTAAAACAGCTGGAAAAGTCCAGGCCGGAATTTTTTTTTTTTGTTGACCAGTGTTATCAGATTTGTTCATGAAGCCATCCAGATATATAAACACAGACACAACTTCAACCGAAAATATGGGTACAAACTGAGCAATCATTGCAAGGACGTTATTAACCAGGTAAAGTCTTAACTGACTGGGATGTTTCCATCCCACCTGTCTATGTCAGCTGTTATTTCCGACTCTCTATGTGTCTTTCTCTCTCTCTCTCTGTGCATCTCTCTCCGATCTCTACTTCAGTGACGTGGGTACTGCCGCGGGGTCCAATTTCTGCCCCGCCTCCCCCCCCCTCTCCCCCACCTTCTCTCTCCCCCCCTGCAGCCACTGCTACGGTGGACCACTTTACTCCAGTGACCCAGGTGCTGCCGCGGGATCCACTTTCTGCCCAGCCTCCTCCCCCCCCCCTCTCTCCCTCCCTACTGCCGAGGCCTATATGACCTCGTGCCACGGCAGATCTCTTCGCCTACTTCAGCAGTTTTTTCTTGCTGTGGTTGTCCCACCTGATGACGATCGGTTGTGTTGCGATCGAAACATCATGATCTATTATTTTTTCTACCGATGTGACCTTACCGAAAGAACCAAAGAGTATGGATTCCTGCAGTCGTGAAAGCTTCAAATCAAGATTTTCCCTGAAAGAGTAAATTACTTTTGTTGTTAATTACTATTCAATAGTTTGAACATTTATGTTATTTTATTATTATTGTATTGTGAAACGAGATATAGGTACATATTTTGAGGTTAAGGGTAGAATTGGAATGACTCTCCAAAACTAAATGTAGTTTTACACATGTTTTTTTTAAGAACGCATCCCTTTGTAAACAGAGGGATACCTGTAATTTTCAGGCAATTTTTCAGCATTGGGATGTTTAGCCGATACCGGGTGCATTCTATGTTTATTGTCTTTTGAGGTTTTTTTTTATTGCCGACACCGGAGAACCCAGAGAAAACCCACACAGGACATGCAGAGAATGTGCAAACTCGTACACACAGGAAGGTGGCCGAGTCGGACATCAAAGCCAGGTACCTCTGGCTGTGGGGCACGAGTGCTACCCCCCGTTTACACTGAAGACATGATGACAAATTGATCTCGATATTCTCGACCAGTTTCGACATTTAGTGTCTCATCAGCGGACTTGCTTGAAACAGTCCTCAGGAACTGCCGGATGTTTACAGGCAAGGATGATGCTGCCTGTATGGAATAGCATCCCTTACATTGGCGCTGACACTTTAATATCTCACCCAAGCTTATGCTGAAACTTACAGTCGGAAGTGATTTAAAAAAATAAACGAAATTAGCCAGCATTTCATTTGTTTCCTTGAACGGTCTCGGTGAAAATGTTATAGGTTGGATTAATTCATAAAAGACCGGTCACTTCTTAGCAGTGGTTAATCGCATGTTTCTGGTGGTGCTGTATTGAAAGCGGTGCACAAGTAAAAATAACAAAAACTAAACGGACTCATCTAGAACACTGTGGCTCTAAAGAGAGAACAATAAACGTTCTTCGCAGCACATAACAAAGTGCCAAGGGGTCTACTTGTATTGGTGAAAGTGTTGAGTTTTTGTTATTTCTCATCAGCAGCATCACTCAGCAGAACACACAAGGGCCATGCCTCCTGCCGTCTTTACTCTGAGAGCGCAGGATTTGCCACAATGTCGTCGTCGCGATACTCTACTCTATAACATTCATCTTGACACGACGATTATTGACGCAGAATTGCGTTCTGCGCCTGTGTATGTCACGCTAATGATGGTTTGAAGTTTTTCAACAAAAGTTCACTCGGCAAAAGCCCGCTACTGATATTTATAATCCATAAAGCTGCGTGATCTTTAACACTTTTGATGCACACGCTGTCACAAAATTACGATGGCCGTATAATCGCCATGCCATCCATTCAAATGAAAAAAGCCTTGACAGCAGAACTAATTTGTGGGTAATAGCTATTTTTATTAAGCGTACGTAGACCTAACAGGATGTGTGTGTGTTGACTGCGGGAGAAACCTTTGTAGTTCCACTGGATGCTGGCAGCTTGGATCTCCTGCGTGGGAATGTACTCCTCCTGGAAGCGCTTTCCCTGGAGACGGTGCCACAGCGTTGTCTTGCCCGTGTTCCGGTCGCCACGGATTATGATTTTCACTGTGCAAAGACAGACAGCGACAGCGTCGGACACCGGGCAATCTACTTATCACGGCAACCTGCAAAGCCGAGGTCAAGAGGTCACGATATGTTATATAGACCCGACAGACCTGTCTCTAGTCGGCAGTAGTTAATTGCATGTTTCTGGTGGTGCTGTATTGAAAGTGGTGCACAAATAACACCTCCGGTTAGCACGGTTGGCTACGTACATATATAACATGGTCAATGCCACAGATGCCACCACACATCACCATTGCTTCCTTCCGCCTGTTTCAAAGTTAACCAAGTCCAATACACTCGCAGAAACGCAGAGACATGCGTACACGTGGAGACAGAGACAGGCAAAAAGACAGGACCATATGAACAGACACACAGACATGGAGACAAAGAGACACATAAAAACAAGGAGATGTGGAGACGCTAAAATGAAGAGAAAAAGACAATGACAGAGACACAGAGATAGAAGTGGGCTGGGACAGGACATGTCGCTAGTCACAAACGTGTAGAGCACATGAGTTGAGAGACTCGTGTGCTTTAACGCATACACCTTTGTATGTCTCTGTTGTTGCGTTTCTCCGTGTTTGTGTGTGCGTCTCCTTTTATGTGTCTGTGAATGCGTGTGTCTGTGGGGAACGGTAGTGTAGTGGTCAGCACGCTGCGCTACGAATCTGGCGACGGTCAACACCAGTGACAATTATCTCAACCGATCCTGGGCCTCCCCTAGGTCTACTCAGCCCAATTTAGTACCTGGTGCGGTGTGTAAACATTGCGACTAGGGTGACAAAGTCGGCCGGGCATGGTGTTGGCCACCCACCACGTCGTGTGCCGGTACTTGCCTTCATAGGTTAAATCGTGGTCTGCAATGATCGGCATTTTGTGACGCAGTGTTCGTGAATGCCGAAATATAAAATGAACTTATTATTCAATCGTATTTACGTGCTGGATTTATACAACAGTGATGCTGTGGCAGTGCTCGACCAACAACGGGAAGGTAGCGGGTTCACAGTCTCAGCCCCGTTATCCCACCAGTATGGCTAACACAAGTGCAACTTTGTGGAAACTCAGAATCAGAATATTTATTTAAAATGGAGGAATCCAATGAGCTATAAAGCTCTACTGGACATCTGTGGGTGTCTTACAGAGAGACTGGCCAACCGAGAAACGTGGAATTTCCGCGAGCAGCCCAAACGCAGCTTGTTCCAACGTGGATTTTTCTCTGAGTCCTCCGGTTTTTCCCCTCCACATTTTGAAACCTGCATTTAGAGTATTTGGCTGCTGAAAATATCCACATGATAAGCCACTTCGTTGATCTATCATTTGTCGTCAGCGATATTGCTCAGTGGGCCATACATGGTATAATAAAACGTTTTGTATAGGACCAACTGCCTCTCTTGATAAAATGAATAGGCCAATTATTTCCATAAACGCAAACCAAGTTAACTCTCTATTACGTGGTGAACAACCATTGTAGGTAACGTTGGAGAAATGTTAAGTTTTAGAAGAGACAAAATATGCTCTTAAAATATGAGATAGGGATTAAACATTTTACAGTGGGGAAAACTTTAGCACAAATCTATAAAATAAGTAAGATGCCAACTACCATATTCTCCATATTAAAATACGAGGAAAAAAGTTGTCTCAAAGAAAAAGTTGTGAGTCGGTATTACAATCCACTGGGTATGTGAGACTATATTTGAATAACTTTATCCACACCAGGTATAGTCAACAACTTTATTGGCTCTACATTGGCACTTCCCCCATTATTACCATATTATCCAATTATCAGATAAAAAATTTTCCCCAAAGTCTCCTCTCTAAGTCGTTTTCCTCTCCAACACACCTGTGTGCTGAACTAATTGAAAGATAGGAGAGCGGCCTCCTCTACGAGGGCATGGAAGTGGCTATGTTAATGTGAGAGAGTACCATGATGTTAATATGAGAAAATTAGCAGGGAACTGAAAGATAGGAGAGCGGCCTCCTCGACAAGGTCACGGAAGTAGCTATGTTAATGTGAATGTAAAATCGAAGAGTGGTGCAATCCAAAGGCATGAGTGCAACCCAAAGGGTACAATCCAAAGGGCATGTGAGCATGAGAGTGCAATCCAAACGGCCATGTGAGCATGAGAGTGCAATCCAAAGGCATGAGAGTGCAATGCAAATGACATGTGAGCATGAGAGATCTAAGAGAGAGGCATAGAGAGACACAGAGAGTCGGAAATAACAGCTGACATAGGCAGGTAGGATGGAAACATTAAGTCAGTTAATACTTTACCTGGTTAATAACGTCCTTGCAATGATTGCTCAATTTGTACCCATCTTCTCAATTGAAGTTGTGTCGGTGTTGAAATATCTGGATGGCATGAACACATCTCTGAAGGTAACTTAGCCACTTCTGTGCTCTCATCGAGGAGGCTGCTCTCCTATCCTACAGTTACATGCTAATTTTCTCACATTAACATCATGCTAATCTCTCACATTAACATAGCTACTTCCGTGCCCTCGTCGAGGAGGCCGATCTCCTATATTACTTTTACATGCTAATTTCTCACATTAACATCACTAGCCCCGGCAACTTCTTTATGACCCTTGGGCTACACCCATTTCAAACCTTTTAAAACAGTCTGCCTCAGCAGCAGATCATGCTTTCCCACCTGACGACGGACGCTTGTGTTGCGCCCGAAACGTCGTGATTTATTTTATTTTATACCTACGTGACTTTACCGAAAGAACCAAAGAGTATGGATTCCTGCAGTCACGAAAGCTTCAAATCAAGATTAGTAACTAATTGGCACGTTTTGTTTATGTGCCAAACCTTTCTAATTGGTTGTCAGGTGGTGGTGGTGGGTAAACGACAAATTTATATATACGCAATCTAACCCATAAAACCTTTATTATGGGCAGATATTGCTATCTGCAAGAGCTGTTCAGGTGCTTTACTCAAAACATTATTAAAAGTAGCAGTGGTGGAAATGTGCCAGTACACGACGGTACACCATACCGGCACTTCTCAACACCACACGCATACCGGGGCAGTTGCTATTCCTATACGAGGATGTTTCTGCAGATGGGACACGGCAGTGAATGTGGGTTACTGCAGCACAAACAAGTGTCATGAGCGGCTCCTCTTCATTCACATTTCGACCACCGGTTAACAAAGTGGCAGCACACACTGGCTCCTATACTTCCAACAGTGTGAGAAGCGAATGAGGTTCTGTGGGGTACCGCAGCAGGGAAGAGGGATGGCCACCAGCAGACACCCTGCCTACACCACCAGCCCCGAGACGGTCACGCTCCGCACGCTACACTTTCACACACGCACGCGAGAGCCTCGATCGGCAAGCCCGGGCCCTCCCAACGCACAGGCGAGTGGGCCTTGACTTACTGTTGTACTGCACTCCCTTGGCGAACTTGCGCTGCAAGGCCTGCCCCATAGACTGGATGCCAGCAGGGGTGCCTCGGTCGCGCGCCCCTCCTCCCTGCTCCGAGCCCAGGAGCTTTTTCCACGCGGAGAACATCTTCACTGTGGCGAGGCGACGTCACTGCCCGGCTGACAACACATGCCGACAGGACACCACGTGCCAATTAGCACGGCCACGCAGGTGTGCAGGAACTATTTCGTTTAGTATCCGTCACACCTCACGCCGGCGTGGTCGCACTAGCGACAACCACGTGTGGGCACAGGCTCTGGCATGGTCAGTGACATGGCCCGTAAGGCGTGGTGCATTCTCTACACGATAGCCAGTGGTTCGGCAGCAGAGCAGACGGCTCGAAATCAAAAAGTTGCGAGTTCAAATCGTGCTTGTGGGTTGATTCGACCTATCATCCCTCCGGGATCATTTAAAATTAATATCACTTTGTAGGTAAATGAACAATGGTTGTCCTTTGGATAGATTGGTCCCCGTCATAGGAATGTGGCATTTCGGCCACTGGCTCAGTCCTGTAAAGAGGTGCTAAGTACTGCTTCAATGCTCATGTGATTAGGAAATTATGGCATAACATATTTGTATTTATTAGAATGCTGCCTTATTTTGATCTCAATATCATTAATCACGCGCCTTTTGCCCGTCCAAGGACGGGTGTATTTCAGTAAATCTGAAACTTGCAAGCGAAAAGCAGACCGCGACGTGATATTAATTGCATGAATTTGTGTGCAATTTGTAAGGCCGCGGTAGCACTTATTTAATTTAAAGGTTATAATCCCTTGTTCATCATGACGTCCTTTTTACTTGTATCTCTCAATAGCATTATGGAGATCGCGTGACCTGAGGGTTCTGCCTTTGTAGTGAGGGTTGTAAGTTGATGCTGAGGAGGGGGGAGGAGGCGCCTCGCCCACCCATGTGGAGTGACATCACCCGCTAATTAATATTAATAGAGGGGGGGGTGTCCATTTGGAAGACATCACCTCTTCATAATTATTAATGTGGGGGGCTATTCGATGTGGAGTGTCGTCACCTGTTCATGAGTATTAATGAGGGGGGCTGGCTGACATTGAGTGACGTCACGCGCGGGACACACAGACATTCTTGGCTCATTATAGTAATCAATTCATTTTCGTTGGTCCACTATGATTGTTAATTAAAACTATAAAATAAGTGTTTAGTTCTCAATGAGGCTCATGTTTATCCACTGAATGAATGTCATTACTTAATGGCTTTAACATCACCAGTCTAATATTATACTGCAGTCAGCCCAATCAACATCCTGTGCGTCTTTAGCGTGTCACTTTCATTATTCAGTTCAATTTTCCAAAAGCCCTTCACGCCTGCTCTTATCGATGTCTTCATTCAATCACTTTGATATCAATTTGCCTTCAACATTTGCCCTCGAAACGCATACTTCAATTAGCATGGTTGGCTACATATGGTGCAAAATAAGTTCAACATACATACGTACTCTGGTGTTTTTCCAGAAGCATCTGAAAAAATATCAGGAATTGTCTATCGATTTTGTTGTACGTAACTTCAGCATTGCCATTATTTATCTTGAGGCCAACCTTGTAGCATTCTTTAATAAATTATTAAATCTAATTCTGGAATCAATTTCCTAGCATTGCAATCATAACTATTTCATCAGCAAATATGAGATCATTGATATTTTTTCCTATTAAATTTATGCCTTTTTTTCTCCAATCCAATGTTCATAAAAAAATATTCTAATTGCACTTCCCATAACTTTGACACAACCATGTCCCATGAGTCCAACTCTACTTCTAACACGTATTTTTCTACTTTTCTTCAGGCAATCTCAGAGTAGCTGCAACATTTCTGTAAATGTTAAGCGAGCCATTGATTTTGCAAGCACCTGTTTGGCAGCACCAAATTCCACCGAGTCGAATGCCTGTTCCCAGTCTACTGCAATGTCACAACCTCGGAGCTGTCGCCAGGGCGGGCGAGGCCACCTCATGACCCACAACCCACGCGGGGCCGTCCCCGAGTTAGGTGGCACTCATGGACCCCCAATGCGCCATGTGGGTTTGTTGAACTTCTTTCAAACCGTACGTAGCCCAACCGTGCCAATTGGAGGTGCGGGTGGGGAAGGGCAAAAAACTAAACACAAGCAGTTCTAAAGAAATTAGTTTTATATTGAGATTTAAAAGTGCACAGTGGTTTCCTAATATCGGAAGATCGTTATAGACGGCCACAAAAGTGCATCTGAAAGTGCGCGATGCGGTGACCATCTTAGTTCGATGGCAAGCCAAAAGTTGCTGCGAAGATGGTTGGAGTTCGCGTGAAGGTTCATGTCCCTTGACGAGAGAGAATGGCAAAGTTCGGCGTGAGATGGAAGCCCCCGTGCCGTGTGATAAAACTTTGGTGAGTTTATTGCGATGCTATATCAAAGAGATTCTGGGTAACAGTAAAAGGGATAAGGAAAGTGCTGTAATTTGGACTGAGTGTGATGGTGCTCTCTCTGAGACCCGAGCAAGTAGGAGTAACACACACCTCCACCACCATCCGAATTCAAGTCCGTTGCACCGTGTTTGGATAGAATCATTAAGGCATAATTTTATGATTGAAGTACAGAACTCCTCTTATCCACAGCCTTATTAACCACAACTCCTATTAACTGTGGCAGCTGTAGAGTCAGCAAAAACGCTTATTGTCCGTGCCCATATTTCTTGCCAACATCCGCAATTTTACCCAAAATGCGTAGTTAAGCTGCTTTCTAATTTATGTGCCTTTTCTGTGGCGAAGGGGAGTCGAGCGGAAATTGAATCCTATTATCCACGATATTTTACCCCACGGATAAGAGTAAAATCGCAGATAGCTCCGTGAATAGTGTCCGTGATATCAGTCCCCCAAATCACTGCGGATAAGAGTTGAAAATATATTCGGTAATTGTGTTCCACAAACTGCTCCTGAATATTGATTACGTTCACAGTTATATCATCTGGTCCAGGAGCTTTTCCTTTTCTCGATATCTCTGAAGACGTTGCAAAATGCAGCCAACAAAAAACTCAACGCATTCGCAAGTAACACTTTGGCCTTGAAAGAAAAGTATATTAGACGAGATTTTGGGCAAAGTCAACAGAAGAATAGCCATAGTCCAAAACATTGCCCACTGTACATGTTTTTCTTTAAGGCCAGACTTTGTTATTGACGAATGTGTTGAGTATCTGTGGTAATTGTACTTTGTGCACCATTGCCAACGCAGAATCACCAATTATTAATGTTTAAAATATAATCCACATAATGAAGGTAGATTATGTTTTTGTCCATAACGAATGGTGGCCAAGTTGTATTTGTTCATGTTAAAACGATCGCATGTCCATTGGTTTTACAGCCCTGTCGCCTAGCAATGCCGCTAAACGCGCCTTCCCACCTTTCAAGCAGGGATGCAATAACGTGCAACTGATATAACCTGAAATAAAGTACAGTTGCAATAAAGTTCAGCTCCTGCATTAGTTTGGCGTCTGTCTAGATACCTCAGTCACTCATCTAGGCATCTGTCTGGATACATCCTCAACGACCGGATGGCTGGATGCGTGCGGCGACATGTCAAAATTTGCGCTGTGCGTGAGCGTGTCGAGTATACGTTACATTATCACGCAAAAACACACGCAAAAAGCATACATGGTGAATACATCGTTCTCACAATCAATTCATTCACACCTTGCAACATATGCAGAACCCTCACAGCACTACTTTCTGACGCGGAGGCGAGAATCCTAGCAGCGTATTCCGGAAAACATCTAACGAGGCAAACCGCGTATAGCCAAAGCACGCACTGATAAAACAAGGTTTTCCTGGATTTAATATTTTGTCTGACATCTTCAACCCTTTTTACGTCTCTCCGCTTACTCGACGTGGAGTTTACGTGTGTGGCTCATCTCTGGATGCTCCAGTTCCCTCCCACGTGTACGAACACTCATGAATTTGGTGAAAACAATTTAAAATGAAAAAAGACAAAGTAGGACTATCTTGAAAATGAGTGCCAAGACTCAGTATAGATTATCCTAAATAAACAAGTAACATTATTTTAGGATTTCAGATTAGTTTAGTTTATAGCGCCCCCCCCCCCCCATTTTAAATCCACTATTCATTATTCGGATAATCAATGCATTATTTTAAGTGATTACATCAATACGTTTCTTCCTCTAGGACTCAGTATAAAATAAGCCACCTGCTGCCCGAGATATCTGATGTTTACCGTCTTGGTTTTGCCCTGCAATGAGCAATACGACTGTGATGGCGTGCGGCTTGCATCACTTCCCGTCATCAATTAGCCGGGCACCGGCACGCGTCTGACAATCTGGGATTCTGTCCATCAGCAGCGTCAATGGACTTATCTCGTTTCACCACAGGCTCGTTGTGGTGCGTGCATCGCGCCTCCTCTGCAATGAGCATCTTCGTAGTAAAAGCTTGTCGCTACCATTAGTGGTAGAGAAGTAGTCAACCTCACGTCTTGTTAGTTTGCAATGGTACTTATTATTACAATGTTGTCACGGTGTGATTGCGCGACAGATATTGTGATCGCCTCTTGGGTCTCCCGTCAGATGTAGCAGCAGTCGTATCGTGCCGTCACTCACGTGATTACAGTATTGACATCGCCTCTCCTGTATCATGAAGAGCAGCATTATTGTTATTATCGTACTGTCGTAATAAGCATCGCGTCTCGATGTTTGCAGCAGTAATGCTGATATAATTATCATTAGTATAAGTATTATAACACCCAGTCGATCTGTGCTTGTGTTATTATGATCATGAGCGGTATTGTTATTAATATACTGTAGTAATCACCCTCCCCTCAGTCTGTGGTGGTATTATTGTCGTGACCATGACTGTATTGAGTTTAAGATATTATACTGTAGTAGAGGAAACATCAATACTCGCGTATCCTTATATAGCGACGCTATTGTTGATAGACTAGAGTAATGGTTACTATAGCATAGTGCTGATTAGTTATTGACGATGGCAAATTACTACTCGATCACGATTAGCCATTATCCGAATGCACCAATAATTTCCACGCGTCTCAGGAAACAGCAGCGATACTAAGCACAGCGACCGCCTGCTATGACCGAGTCGGGATTGTTGCATTGGCAAGCTCGTAAGAGGGGGTGGCGTTGCGACCGAGGGGAGAGATAGACGCCGTGATGATCCAGCAGTGGATAGTCCATGGCTGTTGACGATGAGGAAGACGACGCCGCCGCCGCCGAGTGTGTGAGTGACGGTGACAGCAGCAGCAGGAGGCTTCCTCACCTCAATCGCCGCCGCTCGCCCCTCGCTCACAGCGGGAGGATCTCTACGCGAGGCGGGAGAGCAGCGAGAGCGGAGGGCGCGAGAGAGCGAGGAGAGGAAGGGAGGGAGCCTGAGGGAGGGAGACGCTCAGGAGGGACGCGACGAGAGGTACGGGGAGGGAGACGCGAGCCGAGAGCGATCCGAGTCCCTCCAGTCGCCATGCGAGTCGCCCCGTGGTGACGTCCCGACCGTCGGGGTCAGAGGGCGCTCGGACGGAAGTGGTGCAGCCATTCCGAGCCACGTGGCACGGGAGCGCAGACTGCTGGCCCGGCGATGATGGCATTGAAGCTCCCTCCGGTGCCGACAGCATCGGGCTTGAACGATTAATCGATTTCAAATAGAAATCTCAATTTGAAACAATGCGATTAGCAAATCGCAAAGGCTGCGATTTGAAAAGTTATCCTACTTTCTTATTGGATTTTTTTGTATTATAACTTTATTTATTTAACTTAACAGGTCTATGTTTGATTGTTCTAGACATTTTAATAAATACAAGTTCGAAGCAATTCATATCTTTTAAGTTCTCATCCTTGTGTAGTGAGTCCAACTGAGTCGCAAACGTTCTTTAGAGGCAACACTTTTATTGTAACATCAGCCTGCTAACACCAGATACAGCCTAAGGTGGTGACCACCCAGCTAAACACGTTCCTTCGGAGTGGGCAGGTCGGGACTTGGTTGGACAGCGCATTCGTGCATGACAGACAAATATGCACGGCAGACAGACAAATAATCCCTGGTGGGCAATGTGGAACCAGTAGCTCCTACCTGTACTACTCTACGTAGGAGTTACAGCTACGAAGGGTCAGACCCTGACTCGGGTCGCAGACCACGTGTTGATGCCTCGTAGGACGTAGAGCTTCCAGCTTGTAGATGTGGAGCTTCAGCTTGTAGAATGCAGCGACCCCGGTCCCTCTCAGGGACCCACCTTATATCCCCCCCAGGTCGGGGCCGCTCCGCCCATAATCATGACGAACCTCATGATTATGCGTAGGACTCCCCCGTATCGACGTGGGATCGGGCCGTGAATCAAAACGCCTAGATGGGTGAGGTGAGGCCAGGGGTCAAGTGTGGAGTGCATCGCGACTCGCCTCAGGGTGTAGGGAAGCGTAGGATGGCGGTGATGCTGGGAGGTGCCGTCATGGTACGCGGCAGCCCGATGACATGTGACCCGACAGGCCGCAATTGTAGCAGGTAACATGGCCGCCTCCGGAGCTAGACGACTTTAGCCGCCGCTGCTCGACCGTCCGCCGTGCGCCATCGCCATGACTGTCGCCTCCGAATCGACGCACATGCAAAATGGGGCTCCGTTCCATTAGGCGGCCCCAGCCCCGTGCGGAACACAGCACACGTCACCTGCGCCCTGTCCCGTTGTATAAGTAGCTGGGCTCGGATGCATTTAGCGACTTTGAGAGACGAGATGTCATCATCTTCAGCTGGAAGAATGATGATAATTGTTTTTTTTATCTGGCAACAAAACTGACATCTTTTTTTACAAGGAGTCATGTTTGCATAGACCACAATACCTGCAGTCATAATGCAAACAAAAAACATAACTATGATAATGTATGCACTGTCCTTTTACTGGCAAATGAGGTTCCAATGGTGTAAATGCATACCCCGAGCTCTCATACTCTGATGGTGCATTGTCTTTGAGTTGTGCGCCTTTTGGCGTCATCTGGTCCAACACCATGTGAGACTAGGTTCTAAAGAAAGCTGTCTCGGGTGTGGACCAATAAACTTCAAGGACAGTGCATACATTATCAGAGTTATGTTTTTTGTTTGCATTATGACTGCCGGTATTGTGGTCTATGCAAACATGACTCCTTGTAAAAAAGGTGTCAGTTTTGTTGCCAGATAAAAGGGTAAAAAAACAATTATATTTTTTACTGGCAAATGAAGTTCCAATGGTGGAAGAATGATGTGGAGGGTTTCCGCCAAGGCCAGTAATCTCTCCAAGACCAACGCGTCGATGCCATCGTGGTCCATCTCTGGGAAGGTGGCTTTCGCCAGCGCCAAAAGCGTGCTATGGAAGGCGAGGGCTGACTCATCCTCCCCCTTCTGTCGCGTGGCAAATTTGTGTCGCGCGTTCGTCGAAGTCTTGTAAATAGACGCCATCCACTTAACTCAGCTCACTTGGTATATCTAATTAAGGACATCTCACTAGCTTCAGGTGACTTCCTTGTCAGTTTCGTTGTGGTATCTTTGTTTACCAAAGTTCCTGTGCCTGACACCATTGCAATCATTGAAGATTTGGTCCAACAAGGACTGAAAGCTGATGTACCTGTCCTGGTTAGACACTGCCTCAACAACACTTACTTCACCTGGAACAGAACATTCTACAAACAATTTGAAGGTACCCCAATGGGTTCTCCCTTGTCTCCAGTTGTAGCCAATATTTTCATGGAGAAATTTGAGACAAATGCCATCCAGGCATCCATCCTACGTCCTTCCTTGTGGAAGAGATATGTAGATGACATGTTCGTCATCTGGCCACATGGCCTACCAGCTCTGGGCAATTCCATACACCCAGCCATCAAATTCACCATGGAGGTGGAAAAGGATGGCAAGTTACCATTCTTGGATGTTTTAATTGAAAAGAGACCAGATGGCTCAATGGGACACTGTCTACAGGAAAGCCACCCATACGGATGCCTACCTAAAACCTGACTCTCACCACCATCCAGCCCAGAAGAATTCCCTCATCAAAACTCTACACCATAGGGCTCGTATTTCCAACCATCACCACCTCGCCAGTGAACTGGAACACGTACACCAAGCCCTCAAGATGAATGGATATTCGGACTACACAATCCGTAAAGCTATCACCCCAACCGTTAGGAAAGAACCATCTAAGGACCCAATGAAAACCATCACCTTGCCATACATAGCAGGGGTTACCAAACAGATTTCCCAAATCATGAGCAAACACAAGATCCAGGTTCGATTTAACACAGTACATACAATTCGTGATCTGATCCCATCTGTGAAGGATGTGATCCCTGACATGCAATATCCCGGTGTCTACAAACTAAGCTGTGGCTGCGGCAGTAGTTACATTGGGGAAACTGAGCGACATGTCTCGGACCATATTCGTGAACATAAGGCAGATCTGAAACATGGTAGGACCAATACCTCAGCCGTGGCTGATCATAGTTTTAAGGCTGTGGGCATAAACTAAATTGTTTTTTCCAAGACAAAGGTACTCTGCAAACCTACTGGCTATCAACAAAGATTCGTTCATGAAACCATCCAGATATTTAAACACGAACACAATTTCAACCGAGAAGATGGGTACAAACTGAGCAATCATTGGAAGGACGTTATTAACCAGTTTAAGTCATAACTGGCTATGATGTTTCCATCCTACCTGCTGATGTTAACTGTTATTTCCGACTCTCTGAGTTGCATTGCCAGGTTGGATGTCTTTGCATTGACAGGCTGAATGTCTCACTAACACATCCACCGTTGCGGTGGTTCTCTTACATTGACATGCTAATCTCTCACAATACAATGGCTACCTTCACAGCCTCAGGGCGCCCTCCGATCTTACATTTACATGCAAATACCATCTCTAGCCCCACCCACTTACCCTTGGGCTACACATAATAAATGGGCTGAATGTCTCACTAGCACATCCACCATTGCGGTGGTTCTCTTACATTTGTAGTGAGTCCAACTGAGTCGCCGACGTTGTCTTGGGAGCAACATTATTTATTACACAACTTTAACATAACATCACACAATCTAGACTCGGGTCTTGAATGCCCATCTAACCATGCTACGGCCAAACTAGACACGGTTCGCTATCCCGGCCCGGACCACAAGCTGGGTCCTGGACCGCATGGCTAAAGGCTTCTTCTCCCCGACGTGGATCTTCTTCACACCAGCACACGAAGAACCTCGAGCTCCTCACGGGGCCCCCGTTATATCCCCCTGGCTGGGACTGGCTTCGCCCCACCCACCTTCCAGATCTCTCGAGCTCTTTCTCAAAGGCTCCCGAGAGCTTTTTAGGACCACGTGACCACCCAGCGGCCCCCATCCACCGGTGGCGGCCCCCCTCCAATATCATCCGGTCACGTGTCAGCAGGTCAACCAGCGTATCTTGCCCCTACGTAACCCTGACTGGCTGACGCTCCCTCTCGCTCCCTCACCGGAAGCCCACACCGCACACTGCTGCAATGGTCACCTCCACAGCCTCAGGGCGCCCTCCGTTCTTACATTTACATGCAAATTCCATTTCTAGCCCTGCCCACTTACCCTTGGGCTGCACACATCTCAGGCCGATATAACATCCTGCTTCATCAGCTCTCTCTCTCTCTCTGTATTTTTTCACCTGAAGACGATTGTTTGTGTTGCGATCGAAACGTCGTGATATTTTTATTATTTTTCTATCTACGTGGATTTACCGAAAGACCCATAGAATATGTATTCCTGCAGTCACGAAAGCTTTAAGTCAAGATTTAATTAGTTGCGCTTACGTGCCCGTGCTTAATTTTTGTTTCGATTCGAAAAAAAATCTGGCCATGTCTTGCACCCCCAGAAATGTCATTTCGTACCCTCAGGGTGTGTGTGCAGCGTGCACCCCAGGTTAAGAACCACTGCTGTAAACGGTGTAGAGCTGAGGATAATGACGCTCGAACCGACTTGAGTTGTGAGGATCCCGTGCAGCCAATCCGGACCCCGCCCTTCCCCCTCCTCAAGGCCCCGCCCCTCGCACAGGCTCCGCCCTGCCTAGCCCCGCCCCCAACCCCTTGGTCTCCCGAGGCCCCGACATCTGAATAGGCCGAAGATGGCGGCGGTGGCGGCTGCGTCCGCCCGCGAAACTAAGTTGAGGTGAGGGACTGAGCGGCTTCCGCTTCTCCTCCCCCGCGCAACTCTCTCCCCTTCTCTCTCGCATCGCGCTCCCCTTGCACCCCACCTCGCAGCCCGCGCGTGTGAGCGCGGGGCAGAGGAGCGTGTGAGGCGCGAAGCAAGGCACCGCCTCGGCCTAGGCACTGCGCAGCTCGTCTTCTTTCCACCGCCTCCTCCTCGCCCGCCATCGTGCCGCTGCTCCACTGCTGGCGTGACCGCTCGCCCCGAGCGCGGGCCCTCGCGGCCTAAACGCGCCCGAAGTTGCGCTCGGCAGGCACGCTGCGACCCGTCGCTTTGTTTATAAACGTCGCGCTACTTGCGCAAGTGTACACTGTACGTTTACAGTAGCGTTGCAGTGTGTACTGTACAGTAATAACATGTAGACTGCAATAGCGGTACTGCCGTAATGTGTACCGTGTAGGCACAGCGCCGCTATACATAGTGGCGCGTCAGCTGTGCGCTTTGTAACGGTCCAATAATGCAGTACACTACAGGACGACACATACAGTATACATGACAGTGCTATGCATACAGTATAACTGGTCATACGGTGTACATACATACTGGACAATTGTTAATTAGTATAGCACGACTGTAATGTGAGAGACACTTATGTATACTTACGTGGATGAACACTTAAAAATATATATAATGAATGTCTGCATTTATTTGTTTGCATTACTTTGTATTTGGTGCTCATGTGGATTGCATGATATAGGTATGCAATGTACCCCGGCAGCATTTTTGGGAAGGGATCACATTATTTTGCTGTCAAAGACCATGCTCAATCTACTGATGAATGAAGGCCTCCCCAAACCGGCGTAACCTCTTACAATTATTTACGCTCCGACGAGAATGTTCTCGACATGTCAATACATTATAGTACTGTATACGTGTGATTAAATCTGAAATTAATCATTGCGGTATATATGACAGTCCTGCATGGGATAGTGCAGTGTATAACCAGTGCTATTGCACTGCCGTAATGTTGTGTGTACATGGCGGGTCGTATTGTGAAGGGTGTTTTGCATAGATCCCGGTGGGTGGCCACACCTAGGCTCGCAAGCCGCATTCATCTCCTGGCTTGTTTGCTATGAGAGATGCAGGGGAATGTTTTACTTTGCAATATGCTGGAACTTTATCTGAAACGGGGGAAAAAATCTGCAGAAGCAGGAGCAATCCACTCCGGGGGCAATGCAGGTCACTTGCATAATTCCGGGGGCACTCGCCACAGATTTCTAAATTAAAACTTCCCAGGCCACGGAGGACGTTGGGAAGTTTGATCCCAGCTGGTTTAAATGCGATGTAAACCATGTAGGAATTCTTTTAGCGTGTAATTGCACCGTTAGATGATTACATTTCACATCTATGTTTACGCTTTACTTTGTAGTCGGGTTACCGCAATATGTCGATACCCACAATACATCGTACAATAGGAAGAGCCACACAAAATTGTTGTGATTTATCTAAAATATAATTTTCCTGACATGAAATGAACATAGTTATTAATCCATACATATATAGCTGTCAATATTAAATACATATTTAACACGTAGGCTTTCGCGACCAATTTCCACAATACATGTTTTTTGGGTTAGATCGCGGCGGGTTTAACGCCACATTTACGCGATCTATTCCAATAAACCCATATTATGGATTGAATACATGATTTACACACTGCTTTCCAGAGTAATTGATGGAATGGAGATTGCACGTCTTTATTTAGTCGTTCTTGTAATTACGTTTATTTGGACAGGATGTGCGTTGTTGATTGTAATCATAACAGACTCGTGGCAGGCTTAAGTCGAGTAAACTGCAACTTTTAAGTCATTTATTTTTGCTGAACATTGTGAAGTAAACTGTTAAGTTATGGCAAACTGATTTAGCGACAATCAACATGACGCGATATTTGATATTGTACTATAAAAAAAATGGCGATATAGCCCCAGTATATAAAAGGCAAAGTTGTGAATGTCTGTCTGTTCAAAATGTTTAGCGTACTTCCCGACATGCAACAAACTGGAAATTTGCCATGTGGGTACTTTCCAGACTATACAACATGCAAAAATTCTAAAAATACACTTTTTTGCACGGCAAGTGAGCTGTGACGTCGAATGTCACGTGACCCGCGCATGTTGAAGCGTAACGCATTGTAGTGTAGTGGTTAGCGCGCTGCGCTACGAACCCGGCGACCCAAGTTCGATTCCCGCTCACGGCCAACACCGGTGACGATTATTTCAGTAACTGCTGTGGTGTGTGAACATCGCCACTGGGGAGACAAAGGCGGCCGGGCGTGGTGGATCCAAGTCCCGGGTGAAGCCGGGTAGTTAAGCTAGTAGATTAATATAATGCACCTTGTGTGTAATCTCCAGAGCTTACGACTTGCAAAAACGTAATAACCAGCTAAGAACCTATCGTGAGAAGTCTTACGAGGGAGACCTGAAGTTACATGGTATACGTTATGAAATTAGTGTTATACAGTATTTTGTGAATCTGTGTGATGGTATTGAAATGCCATGTACATATAATGCAGCACCACATACGGTATAAATTATAGTTAATTATAATGTGATATCTTCTTGGTTCTTTCGGTAAAGTCACGAAAGAACCAAGAAGATGGATCCCTGCAGTCACGAAAGCTTTAAATCGAAATATAATGTGATATATATTTAATATTACTGTGCATAAATGATATGCAGTATTGTTCTTAGATATGGTGCTGTGTGTGTATATCAACTTGCGTTAAATTACTGTGTATAGTTAAACATACTTATGTTTGTATTGGAATGTATTAGGGATGTGTTCCACATTTGAAGAATAATCTGAAAAATCCAAGACTCGAACCTCGGTTGGGGTGTTGCCTTGCTCCAAAAACCGTGCCATCGCTTCCTGTGGGGAAGACACTTTAGCACTAACATTGTTGTTACTTCTTGTCATTTTCGTTTAAATAATACAAATGTAAAAAAGTTGTACGTAATAAATAAAAATGCAATGATTCTTATTTTAATTAGGTGAAATTAATGGGGTGTAAAAGCTAAATTGTGCCTAAAAGACTAAAATCCCACGTGCATTTATTCACTGCAGTACCTATAAAAGTATTTATAAAAAGAAGAATAAATGTCAGTCTTTTCTCAGTCTACTGCTGGATGAAGACCTCTCCATGCCGTGTTTGTCGTGGCGGTTGTTTGACCAGAATTCATCACCCTATGTGGTGAAGTACGGTCAGAAGGGAGCCAGTTGTGTTATCGGTCACCACACTGATGTTTACTGTGACCGAGAGTGAACTCGGGTTACCGGGTTCATAACGCAGTGTACAAACCACTGCACCATCACTCCTTAATTGTTGCACAGAAAAAAATATGCAAATAACAAAACCTTCAATTCCTTAGAATATTAATTGGATGGTTAATCAAGCGGAGAGATTTAATGAAAACTATATTTTAAATTCATTGAAGTTTTTACTATTACACATTCGTCATATTAATGCATTTAGGTTGGTTACAATCAATATTTATTACATTTTACTGTTTCAAAATCAAGTACATTTTAATGTAACCTTAGGACAATTATAGCCAGTTTGCTGAGGTTGCGAACATAGAAATGTAAACGACCGAATATCCAGCTCAAAAATATATTACTGCTTTTTATTTTACAAGATGCACTTTGTTACGTTATATGGTACACCACCAAAAAGATTTACATTATGTACTTCATACACAGCTACATTTCTATTTTTATTACCATTATTTGGTAAATTCAAATCTGTTAGGGAACTGTTATGTGCATTAGCGAGTATATAGATTTGCAATAGGCATTTCATTTGGCACTGTTACATTTAATAGCATAGGGTAGATGTTGTACGTTATAATATGCCAGATTTATGGTCATCATGTTATTCTGACAGCATATAGAATACTTTCCACCGCTTGTATAGTACTAATATTGTGTATGTTATCTTGTATTTTTAATACTCTGTAGGAAGTAAAGTGTTGGAAACATTTACACAGTGTGCTGTAGTCCAACATTGTGTATTATTGGACATCACTTTGTGCTGTGCTGGTGGAGTACTATTAATATCACTGCAGTACAGCTTACTGGGTATTCGGAGTACATTTTATATATGTATTCTATAGTCTTACCCTATTCTGTACTTGGCGATTTGTATTCGTGTATCATATTATTTGAGTTTATTTTATTGATTACACGAATGATCCCATTTAGCCTGTCGTCCAGTTACCTAGCGAGGGAGATCTGTGGTGAGTGTGCACAGCAACAGCACGACGAAGACAAGAACGTCAACATGACGGAGAACGAGTAGGGGGTTCTCTAAGGGGAATTGCACAACTAACAAACGAAGGGTTTAATGGTCATGAGCGAAACACGCTGGATCCCAGCGGTACTGTGGTTATGGGAGAAAGAGTACACACACAGAGGATGAGTTTAGGATTTACATTTTAGATTACATTTTTATATATTTAAAGGGACATTTTTTTTACTTCTATTTTTATTGCAGGATGCCTTTTGAAAGACATTAAAGGCCAGTTTAGAAAATAAAACAATGCAGCACACATAGAGCATCATTAAAACAACTCAAATGTGCTTCAGCACAGTTGTGACACAGTATAAGGTCTGAGGAGGATGCTAGGAATAACACTAGTTAAGGAAATTAAGTATTTTGGGTACCCAATTTAAGATGGCAAGTGATGAATATGGTGGGTGGGTTGTGCTCAGAAGCACGAGGGTAGTTACTTAGACAGGCACTTGATTGGGTTCCAAGAGGTCACAATAAAGGGGAAGCCCTTGGACTTGACATTGAACCCCAAAAAGTAATCTCTCCCCTCTTGCTACGATGTGCTATTTGATGTGCTGTTTGTGCCCACCCCTGACACGCATGTCTATATTTGTCTATCTTTCTTGTCGCTCATTGTGTCACTCCGTCTTTCCATTTATGTCTCTGCTGCTCTGTGTTTTTCTCCATGTCC